TCACCTCTACAAAACCTAGCCAAATTTCTCGCCAAACAACTACAGCCCTCTCACCTATCATTGCCAACCTCTACATGGAACACATTGAAACCCAAGCTCTAGAAAAATCGGATCACAAACCCAAACTCTGGCTCAGATACGTAGACGACACCTTCATAATCTGGCCACATGGGAAAGAAAAACTGGACAACTTCCTCACACACCTCAACAGCCTACACCCCAAAATACAGTTCACCATGGAAACAGAAGCTAACAACCAACTTCCCTTCCTGGATGTCTTAGTCTACAAGAAATCCAATGGCTCCCTAGGACACACCATCTACCAGAAGAAAACACACACAAACCGCTATCTGCACGCTCTCTCACACCACCACCCAGCACAGATCAACTCTGTAGCCAAGACACTCATCTCCAGAACAAAACGCTTAGCTGACGAACAACACCTAAAACCCGAACTACACACTCTCACCAATGTACTAACATCCAATGGATTCCATAGAAATAAGATTACAAACCTAATCCAAAAAGAAACCCCCACTAAAATCCAAGACAAAGAACAAGAAAACGGCAAAGCCATCCTCCCATACATAAAAGGCATCACAGACAGAATCAGTAAGATCCTCCATAACACAACATCAAAACAGCATTCTGCACAAACAGAAAAATATCCACCATCCTTAGAAACCCCAAAGATAATTTGAATTAGAAAATCAAGGAGTATACGAAATCCCATGCACCACTTGTCCCACCACATACATCGGACAAACCAACAGAAGAATAAGTGCACGCATTGAAGAACATAAGAACTCAATCAAAAAAGAGGAACCAACATCTTCCCTGGTCCAACACCTTAAAGCTACAGGACATGAAATTGACTTTAAAAATACCAGAACCATTGCCAAAAGTGAACATTTTAATAACAGAATAATCAGAGAAGCCATCGAGATAGAAAAACGCCCACACAGCATGAACAAGCGAGATGATACCTCCCGCCTACCAGCCATTTGGAAACCCGCCCTCATTGACAAACGACTCCCTAACACAAAAAATGATACCAGACCCACACTCACAAAAACCACACAGGATGTCACCACCAAACATCCACGCAAAAAACAAACCCAAAGCCACACTGACTATGAGGCACGACCACAAACCAGAAGCCAGACCACAGCTGCATCATTAGCCACTTTAAACCCCCCAATCCATACATGAAGCAAACTGACACCTCCATGAAGAGGAAGCACGACCACGAACGCGAAGCCAAGGAATGGCAGGGCAGCCCAAAATCTTGAATCCCTCTGCAACTCAGACTAACCTGAGCACAACCAAACAGAACACTCCCCCAGCCAATCAGAGCACAGCCAACCCCCCAGCCAATCAGAGCACAGCCAACCCCCCAGCCAATCAGAGCACAGCCAAGCCCCTAACCAATCAGAACACACCTCCACCCAATCAGAACACAGCCAAGCTCCCACCCAATCAGTTCATACCTCCACTGGCAGTTAAAAGGAAGAAACAGCCAAGACCACACACTGCTGCTCGAGGCACGAAGCTGAAAGCACCAGCCTGAAGATGACGAATGGGACTTCGTCGAAACGTCGCCAAGACACTTCCAAGTTTACGTGGGAGAAAACCCGAAAACCAAAGACCTACATATATATATATATATATAGATATATATATATATATATGTTTTCTGAGGTTTTCGCGGGTATTTGTATATAGGTCTTTGGTTGTTCGGGTTTTCTCCCGCGTAAAATTGGAAGTGTCTTGGCAACGTTTCGACGAAGTCACATTCGTCATCTTCAGGCTGGTGTTTTTAGCTTCTTGCTTTGAGCAGCAATGTGTGGTTTTAGCTGTTTCTTCCTTTTAACTGCCAGTGAGGGTATGAACTGATTGGATGGGAGCTTGGCTGTGTTCTGATTGGGTGGAGGTGTGTTCTGAATGGTTAGGGGCTTGGCTGTGCTCTCTGATTGGCTGGGGGAGTGTTCTGTTTGGTTGTGCTCAGGTTAGTCTGAGTTGCAGAGGGGTTTAAGATTTTGGGGTTAGGGAGTCGTTTGTCAATAAGGGCGGGTTTCCAAATGGCTGGTAGGCGGGAGGTATCATCTCGCTTGTTCATGCTGTGTGGGCGTTTTTCTATCTCGATGGCTTCTCTGATTATTCTGTTATTAAAATGTTCACTTTTGGCAATGGTTCTGGTATTTTTAAAGTCAATTTCGTGTCCTGTGGCTTTAAGGTGTTGGACCAGGGAAGATGTTGGTTCCTCTTTTTTGACTGAGTTCTTATGTTCTTCAATGCGTGCACTTATTCTTCTGTTGGTTTGTCCGATGTATGTGGTGGGACAAGTGGTGCATGGGATTTCGTATACTCCTTGATTTTCTAATTCAATTTTATCTTTGGGGTTTCTAAGGATGGTGGATATTTTTCTGTTTGTGCAGAATGCTGTTTTGATGTTGTGTTTATGGAGGATCTTACTGATTCTGTCTGTGGTGCCTTTTATGTATGGGAGGAGGGCTTTGCCGTTTTCTTGTTCTTTGTCTTGGATTTTAGTGGGGGTTTCTTTTTGGATTAGGTTTGTAATCTTATTTCTATGGAATCCATTGGATGTTAGTACATTGGTGAGAGTGTGTAGTTCGGGTTTTAGGTGTTGTTCGTCAGCTAAGCGTTTTGTTCTGGAGATGAGTGTCTTGGCTACAGAGTTGATCTGTGCTGGGTGGTGGTGTGAGAGAGCGTGCAGATAGCGGTTTGTGTGTGTTTTCTTCTGGTAGATGGTGTGTCCTAGGGAGCCATTGGATTTCTTGTAGACTAAGACATCCAGGAAGGGAAGTTGGTTGTTAGCTTCTGTTTCCATGGTGAACTGTATTTTGGGGTGTAGGCTGTTGAGGTGTGTGAGGAAGTTGTCCAGTTTTTCTTTCCCATGTGGCCAGATTATGAAGGTGTCGTCTACGTATCTGAGCCAGAGTTTGGGTTTGTGATCCGATTTTTCTAGAGCTTGGGTTTCAAAGTGTTCCATGTAGAGGTTGGCAATGACAGGTGAGAGGGGTGATCCCATGGGTGCTCCTTCTGTTTGTTTGTATTTTTGTCCATTATAGATGAAGTATGTGTTGGATAGGCAGTGGTTGGTCAGATCTAAGATGTGTTTGGGGGGGTTATATTTGTTTTGGATAGCTGTCAAGGCTTCTTTGATAGGCACTTGGGTGAAGAGGGATATGACATCGAAGCTCACTAGTAGGTCATATCCCTCTTCACCCAGTGCCTATCAAAGAAGCCTTGACAGCTATTCAAAACAAATATAACCCCCCCAAACACATCTTAGATCTGACCAACCACTGCCTATCCAACACATACTTCATCTATACGGACAAAAATACAAACAAACAGAAGGAGCACCCATGGGATCACCCCTCTCACCTGTCATTGCCAACCTCTACATGGAACACTTTGAAACCCAAGCTCTAGAAAAATCGGATCACAAACCCAAACTCTGGCTCAGATACGTAGACGACACCTTCATAATCTGGCCACATGGGAAAGAAAAACTGGACAACTTCCTCACACACCTCAACAGCCTACACCCCAAAATACAGTTCACCATGGAAACAGAAGCTAACAACCAACTTCCCTTCCTGGATGTCTTAGTCTACAAGAAATCCAATGGCTCCCTAGGACACACCATCTACCAGAAGAAAACACACACAAACCGCTATCTGCACGCTCTCTCACACCACCACCCAGCACAGATCAACTCTGTAGCCAAGACACTCATCTCCAGAACAAAACGCTTAGCTGACGAACAACACCTAAAACCCGAACTACACACTCTCACCAATGTACTAACATCCAATGGATTCCATAGAAATAAGATTACAAACCTAATCCAAAAAGAAACCCCCACTAAAATCCAAGACAAAGAACAAGAAAACGGCAAAGCCCTCCTCCCATACATAAAAGGCACCACAGACAGAATCAGTAAGATCCTCCATAAACACAACATCAAAACAGCATTCTGCACAAACAGAAAAATATCCACCATCCTTAGAAACCCCAAAGATAAAATTGAATTAGAAAATCAAGGAGTATACGAAATCCCATGCACCACTTGTCCCACCACATACATCGGACAAACCAACAGAAGAATAAGTGCACGCATTGAAGAACATAAGAACTCAGTCAAAAAAGAGGAACCAACATCTTCCCTGGTCCAACACCTTAAAGCCACAGGACACGAAATTGACTTTAAAAATACCAGAACCATTGCCAAAAGTGAACATTTTAATAACAGAATAATCAGAGAAGCCATCGAGATAGAAAAACGCCCACACAGCATGAACAAGCGAGATGATACCTCCCGCCTACCAGCCATTTGGAAACCTGCCCTTATTGACAAACGACTCCCTAACCCCAAAATCTTAAACCCCTCTGCAACTCAGACTAACCTGAGCACAACCAAACAGAACACTCCCCCAGCCAATCAGAGCACAGCCAAGCCCCTAACCATTCAGAACACACCTCCACCCAATCAGAACACAGCCAAGCTCCCATCCAATCAGTTCATACCCTCACTGGCAGTTAAAAGGAAGAAACAGCTAAAACCACACATTGCTGCTCAAAGCAAGAAGCTAAAAACACCAGCCTGAAGATGATGAATGTGACTTCGTCGAAACGTTGCCAAGACACTTCCAATTTTACGCGGGAGAAAACCCGAACAACCAAAGACCTATATACAAATACCCGCGAAAACCTCAGAAAACATATATATATATCTCTACACACACACACACACACACGCACATACATACATAAATACATACATACATAACATTGCTTACTGGTGTACACCGCTTAGAGAGTGCTTGCACTTAAAGCGGTATATAAGTTTCATAAATAAATAAATAGACATAACCTGTTGTTTTACCTGCGTGCCTGCTCCATTACCTGTATGCCTGCTCCATCAAAAGCTCCATTAGTAAGTTAATTGTGCTCTTGCCTTTGTGTCTCAGATTTAGTCATGGAGGAATCCTAAGGGAAGAGCTTTAAAGAGGATACGATATACAAAGCTACATTTCCTGAGGAAGTCAACTCATTTTGGATAGCTCTGTGGATCAAATCAGAAGAAGAAGCAGCAGCAGCCACAATCCTTAAGAGTCGGAAGGGCTGAATCTGCTTTTTGGATCCAGTGGGATTAGCCTGTCAGCAGAGCAGCTATCTGTGGAGGTAACCTTTCTCTTATCCCAAGACATCCAGAAGCTTCCAGGACCTGTAAGTCTGCAAAAGGGGATCATCTATCATAGAGTTTCATCTCTTGGAGGACCAAGAAAGTATGCAATACAAACTTAAGTAGGCAGTGATTTCATGAACTTTGCCTCTATTGCGGTCAGGGGAATAATAATGATGATGATGATGATGACCTTGGAAGTCATCTAGTCCAACCCCCTGGTCAGGTAGGAAACCCTATACCATTTCGGCCAAATGGCTGTCCAGTCTCTTCTTAAAAACTTCCAGTGTTGGAGCATTCACCACTTCTGGAGGCAGGTTATTCCACTGATTAATTGTTCTAACTGTCAGGAAGTTTCTCCTTAGTTCTAGGTTGTTTCTCTCCTTGATGAGTTTCCATCTGTTGCTTCTTGTCCTGCCTTCTGATGCTTTGGAGAATAGCTGGACCCTCCTCTTCTTTGGGGCAGCCCCTGAGATATTGGAACACTGCTATCCTGTCCCCCCTGGTCCTTCTCTTCATTAAACTAGACATACCCAATTCCAGCAACCGTTCCTTATATGCTTTAGCCTCCAGTCCCCTAATCATCTCTGTTGCTCTTCTCTGTACTCTTTCTAGAGTCTCAACATCTTTTTTACATCGTGGTGACTAAAACTGGATGCCGTATTCCAAGTGTGGCCTTACCAAGGCCTTGTAAAGTGGTATTAACACTTCACGTGATCTTGTGATTGAAAGGCCGGGCTGAAGACCTTTCTTAACTTTAACAAGAGTGAGGCTTGTGGCCCTTTCAAGCTTGATTGATTGATTGTTTATGTGCCATCAAATCACTGTCAACTCTTAGTGTGCACATAGATGTTCTCCATGACAATCTGTCCCTAACTGTAGGAGAAGGAGTGGCAGAACCTGGAGGCGGAGTCTAAAGAGGAATCAGCCTAGAATCCCTTCGTAGCTGCAAGCAGACTAAATCCCACCTTCCTTCAGTGACCATTATCTCACTTCAGCAGGTACCCCCCATTAGTTGACAAGATCCCTGTGTGCTGCTTAGCAATAAATCAGTTTAATTGGACCTTCACTGTGGACTTGGTCTTTCGTGCCTGACATTAATCCGATCCTTCAGTCTAGACTTTCGCAGGCTGCAGAACGTTGGATTGGATCCACGTATTTGAAGAAGTAAAGAGTAATCCTAAAAACTGACGTAATAACCCATTTACTAGTTTTTAAGGTACCGTAAGTTGTTGTGGGTTTTTGGCTGGAATTGACAAATAATAGCTGTTACCTTAGAACAGGGGTCTTCAAACTTGGCCCTTTGATGACTTGTGGACTTCAACTCTCAGAATTCCTCGGCCAGGATGCTTTAAGACAGGAATTCTGGGAGTTGAAGTCCACAAGTCATCAAAGGGCCAAGTTTGAAGACTCCTTCCTTAGAACATAGAATAACAGGCTGGAAGGGACCTTGGAGGTCTTCTAGTCCAACCCCCTGCTCAAGCAGGAGACCCTATACCATTTCAAACAAGTGACTGTCCAGTCTTTTCTTAAAATCCTCCAGTGTTGGGGCATCCACAACTTCTGGAGGCAACTTCTGTTCCACTGATTGATCGTTCTCACTCTCAGAAAATTTCTCTTTGGTCCAGGTTGGTTCTCTCCTCAGTTAGTTTCCCTCCATTATTTCTTGTCCTGCTCTCAGGTGGTTTGGACGATAGGGTGACCCCTTCTCTGTGAATTCGTTGCGGGAACGTTGTGGGGTTTTTTTTTGTTTGTTTATAATGTGCATTTTGTATCTCCATTTCTCATATGTTTTTTTGAAACTGAAGTCGCTAGGAAACTTAGATGGATGTTTTTCGAGATAGACTGGCGAGAAAAAATATCTAGCAATATTATTCTTTTCCCTAGCGTCCCTCTGGCTCGCTCCCTGGCCGGTTGCCGCCATGTATTCCCTGGTCTTCCTCTGTGCCCAGAAAGTTGTCTCTCATTACACAACTCTGCAAGATGCCCTGGGCTTCCTCCCGAAGGAGCTGTATCCCGTCCTGTTCAAGGCCGCGTTCATGGATAAGAGAACTCCGTCGCTCCAGCAGTTAGTGCAGACCTGGCCCTTCCACGTCCTCAGTTTCCAGAAACTCCTGCGCAAGTGTCAGCATTGCGAACGGGCCCTGATCCGGGAGAAACCCAACAAGCTGTGCATTCAGGCCATTATCTTGGGGGTGGTGACGTACCTCATGAAGATGCTGGAGGATCGAAGTCGTACTAAGAGGTACGTGCTCCCCTTTGTTCTTTGGTCTCCATAAGGCAGTGATGGCGAACCTTTTAAGAGACCGAGTGCCCAAACTGCAACCCAAAAACCACATATTTAATCACCGGGTGCCAGGTGGGCATGGCTCACAGGGTGGTTGTGGCTGTGGTCATGGTAGACTGGGTGGGTGTGGCCAAGGTGGGCATGGTCACCTTGATGTTGCTCGTGGGGAGGGACACCTGTGGGGCTGGGCAGGGTTGGGGGAGATCCAGGGGGTCTCTGGTGGGTGGGGCAGTGGGCAGGAGACTCGTCCTGCGGGGTGAGGCGAGGCAGGGCAGGGGTGCCATTGTTGCAGGGCAAGGCGAGGTAGGTGCTGGGGCGGTTGCTGCCTCACACCATCAGCCCCCACACACAGGCCAGTGAGTGCATGGGGGCCGACAGTGTCCGTCAGCAGCCACAGCCTATCGGCCTCTTGACCGGCACACTCTGGGGCTCTGCAGCCCACCGCCAGCAGTTCAGAGAAGCCACCTCTGAGCTGGCCGGCCTGCCGACAGGTAAGGAGGCGATGCAGCGGGTTGTGCCCGGGAAAAGGAGAGCATGCGAGGCCAGGAGGGATGGGACAGGGGGGGAAGGAAACCAGCCATGCTGGGATGCATCCGGCCACCTGGGACCTCCGCGAGTTAGTGGGCAACTGGTTGAAGAGGGACGGTTGCCATCTCTGAGACATGGTGCGTGTGCCCACAGAGAGGGCTCTGAGTGCCGCCTCTGGCACACGTGTCATAGGTTCGCCACCACTGCCACAAGGGAAGGGTTGGTGGATACCGAACGTGCTTCTCCACTGAGGCCAGAAAAAGACAAGTGCTCCTCGGCTTAATGACAGTTCAGTTCATCACAAAGGCACAAAAAAGTGACGTAGGATCGTTTTTCGCACTTAACAACCGTTGCAGCCGCCTCACGGTCACACGATCAAAATTCGGACGCTTGGCAAACGATTCCTATTTATGACCGGTGACTTACTACCACAATTCAGCCCCCCAATTTCTGACGCTTGGTGAGGCTTTTGTTAAGTGAATTTTGCCCCATTGTATGACCTTTGCTGCCACCGTTCTTAAGTGAATCATTTCAGTTGTTAATAACACCGTTTTTAAGTGAATCTGGCTTCTCCGGTGACAGTGCTTGTCGTATGGTCGCAAAAAAGGATCAAGTGACACACACACACACATACACACACACACACACGGGATACACTGCAACTGTCGTCAATAGGAGGCCATTGCCAAGCTCCTGAATTTAGATCACGTGACCCCGGGGATGTCGCGGTGGTCGTGACTGTGAAAAACGGTCATAAGTGTGAAAAACGGTCATGTCACTTTTTTCAGTTCTGTTGTGACTTCGAACGTTCACTAAACGAACTGATGTAAGTCGAGGACTGCCTGTACAAAGTTAACAACAGACTCACTTAACAACTGTGGCAGGAAAAGTCACAAAACGGGGCAAAGCTCACTTCACTGTCTCGCTTAGGAACAGAAATGTGGTGTTAAAACCACAGGATTCCCTAAACTTTCTAATTTGTGATGCCTCTCACCTGGCTCTTTCATTGTCAGTTGTCATTCTATCACACACTTAAAACTTCTCTCCAGCATTTTTAAGACCCTGACCTTCTCTCTCTATCTGGAAAACCATTTCTCATTGCTTGCGATTCCTACACACGGTGTCAAAACCTTTGCTTGTGAAGATAAAGGTTGGGTTCACCTGCCTGATGTTCATTTTATTTGCCCAGTGGCTGTCCTGGATCCTTTGCCCTAAAGACGCTGAGAAGACCAAACGGTACCCAATAAGGCAGTGTTTCCCAAACTTGACAATTTTAAGGCATGAGGACTTCAACTCCCAGAATTCCACAGCCAGCGTTGCTGGCTGTGGAATTCTGGGAGTTGAAGTCCACATGCCTTAAAATTGTCAAGTTTGGGAAACACTGCAATAAGGCAATCCAGGAATAAAGCTATTTCCTCCAGGGACCCCAGAATAATTTTAGTAAAGATCACCGTGAACACAACCGAATCCTATTTTCTTCCTAGTCCCGTCAAAGCACTTATTTAGGCTTGGGCAAAGGGTGACCTCTAGGAAGGCAAGCCAGCCCACTCAGTGATCAGCTGGAGTAATAACAGATACCGTATTTCCCCCAAAATACGGCCCAGCCAGGAAAATAATCCCTAGCGTGATTTTTTTCAGGACCCTCGTAATATAAGCCCTGCGCCCCAAAATAAGCCACACTTAAGACTGTCAGCCAGATGGAGGCATTTAGATTAGATTAGATTTTTTTTTCTAGATTTAGATAACCTTTATTGTCATTTTTTTTTTACTGTGGGCACAACGGCACACATTAAAAACGAAATTTAGATGCTTGCTCTCCAGTGTACACATACATAACGCACATTTAAAACATGCTCTCTACAGCATATGTATAGACCAGGGGTGGGCAACCTCGGCTCTTTTATGACTCATGGACTTCAACTCCCAGAATTCCTGAGTCAGCTATGCTCTGCTGACGTTTCATGACCCAACTAGATAAACCTCATCAGTGTTAGAAGGGAGGGAGGTTTCATCATTATAGCACAGATGAGGTCAGCTGGTTTTAATGAAATGTCTGCAAGCAAATGACCAAACTCAGACACCTCCAAGGTCCCACAATCGTCGTCGTCCTCCTCCTCCTCTCTGCAAACTCCACTGCCTTCCAGCACTGATGATGTTCCCAAGTTGGGTCATGAAACGTCTCAAAATAAACAACCAAGCTCAGACAGCACCAGGGACCCCACAGTCGTCCTCCTCCTCCTCCTCCTCCTCCTCTCTACAAACCCCACTCCCTTCTAGCACTGATGATGTTACCTAGTTGGATCATGAAACATCTGCAAGAAAACCAGCCAGCTCAGAGAGCACCAAGAACCCCACAGTCCTCCTCCTCCTCCTCCTCTCTGCGAACCCCATTCCCTTCTAGCACTGATGATGTTACCTAGTTGGGCCATGAAACGTCTGGAAGAAAACAACCAACCAGGGACCCCACAGTCCTTTCCTCCTCCTCCTCCTCCTCCTCCTCCTCCTCCTCCTCCTCCTCCTCCTCCTCCTCCTCCTCCTGCTTTAACGGCTTTCCCTTTTGCAGCAAGGGGCAGCGCTTGCAGATCCTGGACATGACGGGCCTGCAGGACGAAGGGCAGGGCCCGGAGAGCATGAGCTTGTGGTCCAGGACGGTCACGCTGGCCAAGGCCTGCCTGGACGTCTCCAAGCAGCAGAGCAAGTGCTTGAAGCGCTCCTCCAAGCGCAGGAAGGGCCCCTACAGCAGCTCGGTGGCCCAGCCGGCGCCCCAGCCCGTTTCCGTGGACGTCTGGGTGGACCTCTTTGTCAACAGCACCTCCTACGTGGTGCTGAAGGACGCCCTGCAGATCAACAGCAGCAACGCCCTGCGCCTGCGGTGCCGGGACTTCCGGGCGGAAGAGCTGTCCATCGCCAGCACCGTGGGGCTCCTGGAGTTCCTGGACCCGGCCGGGGTCCGGCAGGTGGACCTGCGCTTCAACAACCTCGGCCTCTCCGGCCTGCGGGTGGTCCTCCCCCACTTGACCAAGTTCACCAACCTGGCCAGCCTGAAGCTGCCCTACAGCAACATCGACGTCCGGCGTCTGACGGTGGGCATGGAAGGGAGCCTGCAGTACTTCGCCACCCAGCTCAGCCGCCTGAGCTGCCTCAAAGAGCTGAACCTGGGCTCCTCGCGGCTGTCGGGGAAGCTGCGGCACCTGCTGGGGTAAGGCACCCTGGGCGGAGCGGGCCCGGCCCACGGGGAGACGGAGACGGGGAGGGCTATTTTCCCCATTCGAGCAACGCGGCCACACTCCCGTTCGGAAACTCAGATTTATTTGCCGCCTGTCTCTTCCCTCCCCCCCTCTCTCTCCGGTAATTTTTTTTTTTTTTTTACTAATTTGTCAAAACGTAAAACACGAACAAAAAGGAGAAACGTAGGAAAATAGGGATGGCAAAGAGGACGAGGAAAAAGCGTGGGATAACATGAAAAAGGAAAAGGGGTCAAGGTTGCTCGATGCGCTGTGTGTTTGTGGGCTTAATGTGTACTTTTGCCTCGCTTGGTGTTGGTTTACGTCTCTCCTGTGCTGCCTTTCGCTTCTTAAAAGGCCCATTAAGTGGGTGGCGCACAAGCTGAACAATTAAGCAGAGGAGGATTGGACTAGATGACCTCCAAGGTCCCTTCCAGCTCTGTTATTCTCCTTCCTTCCTTCCTTCCTTCATTCCTTCCTTCCTTCCTTCCTTCCTTCCCTCCCTCCCTCCCTCCCTCCCTCCCTCCCTCCCTTCTGCAACACTGGAAGTTTTTAAGAAGAGACTGGTCAACCATTTGTCTGGAATGCTATAGGGTTTTCTGCCTGAGCAGGGGGTTGGACTAGATGACCTCCAAGGTCCCTTCCAGTCCTGTTATTCTCCTTCCCTCCCTCCCTCCCTCCCTCCCTTCTGCAACACTGGAAGTTTTTAAGAAGAGACTGGTCAACCATTTGTCTGGAATGCTATAGGGTTTTCTGCCTGAGCAGGGGGTTGGACTAGATGACCTCCAAGGTCCCTTCCAGTCCTGTTATTCTCCTTCCCTCCTTCCCTCCCTCCCTCCCTTCTGCAACACTGGAAGTTTTTAAGAAGAGACTGGTCAACCTTTTGTCTGGAATGCTATAGGGTTTTCTGCCTGAGCAGGGGGTTGGACTAGATGACCTCTAAGGTCCCTTCCAGCTCTGTTATCCTTTTCCTTCCTCCCTCCCTTTTGCAACACTGGAAGTTTTTAAGAAAAGACTGGTCAACCACTTGTCGGGAATGCTATAGGGTTTTCTGCCTGAGCAGGGGGTTGGACTAGAAGACCTCTAAGGTCCCTTCCGACTCTGTTATTCTACAATCTCAGGCCTTGGCATAGGTGTGGCCCTTGCAACATTTAACGAAGCCCCAGAGACCTTCAGGGAATGTTTTGAATTGTAATTTTCAGGCTGCCCGAAAGGGAGAGAGAAAAAAATATATATTCATGGTTGGATCCATTACTCATAATTACTTAAGCACATATCCTTGGGCAAATGAAATACATTTCATTTCGCATCCCTTTTTTAAAAATTTTATTTTCATTTTATTAGTTGGGGTTGAATATCTTTTTGTATTACTTAGATCATATTGCCCCTAAGTTTTTTTTTAATCGTACGCTTTTAATATTGTAAGCCGCCCAGACTTAACCTGCGGTAAAATGGGCGGTCAATACATTGAATAATCAATAACCGATCTTGGCCGTGACTCTTGGCCATGCATCCTTGGGTGCAAGGGGGCTTCTCCTCCAGAAACCGCCGCAGAGCTCTGGGTGTCCCAGCCTGAGGGGGGGGCTGTAGAGCAGAGCTTTTCAACCTTTCCACCCATTGTACCATTTTTGGGATATGGCAAACATCCGAGTGCCACCAGTCGCCTAGCAAGGGGTCAAAAACTTGATGACGAAAAAAAAAAAGGAAAAAAGGATGAAGTACAAGTAGTCCTCGACTTACAACAGTTCGCTTAGTGACTGTTGCAAGTTACAATGGCACTGAAAAAAGTGCCCCCAAGCCACAGCCGAGCAAGACACCTGCCTGCCCGCCCGGCGGTGCTCTTCCTCCTGTCCGAGGTTTCCACTGTTGTGAGCATTTCTGTTGAGGATTGACAGCAGGGGTGGGGTGGGGGGTGTTTGGTTTTTATTCCCCCCATCTGTTGGGTGATTGCAGCAGGTTTTGGTCCCTTCCCATGACCCTGGGACACTGTGACCGTCATAAATATGAATTGGTTGCCAAGCATCTGAATGTAAATCACAAGACCCTGGAGAGGCTGCAACATTCCAGCTGATCTGTGCTTCTTCAGGGCTCAGCAGAAGTGCCAGGATCAGCGCCAAGTTCCAGCTGATTGGTGCTTTTTCTGGGCTCAGCAGAAGCACCAGGATCAGTGCTGCTTTCCAGCTGATTGATGCTTCTTCAGGGCTCAGCTGGAGCCTGGCGCTGATCCTGGCGCTTCCACTGAGCCTTGACAGCCCTGCAGCTCCAGCGGTCTCTCGCTCAGGCTTGTGTGGTGCTGCCACTGGTTCAGCTCAGTCCCCTCCCCTGCTATCACTTTTCTAGGATGGTGGCGTACCACCTGCCAGGTGCCCATGTACCACAGGTGGTACCCGTACCCCTGGTTGAAAAGCCCTGCTGCAGAGCACGGCACGAGGGGAGAAGGGGGGGGGGTCCTGCCAGTCCTTAAGCGGCCTTCTCTTTCGCTGTACCTGCAGGGACCTGCGAAGCCCCCTGGAGAGCCTGGAGCTGGCCTTTTGCTACCTGCTGCCCAACGACTTTGCCTACCTTTCCCAAAGCCTCCACACCTCGGCCCTAAAGAAGCTGGACCTGAGCGGCAACAACCTGTCCGACAGCCTCCTCCAGCCCCTGCAGGGCCTGCTGACCGAGGCCGCCTCCACCTTGCTCCACCTGGACATCATGGAGTGCCGCCTGATGGACACCCACCTCAACCTGCTCCTGCCGGCCCTCTGCCGCTGCTCCCACCTGCGCTACCTGGGCGTCTTCGGCAACCCCATCTCGGCCAAAGGGGTGAAGAACCTGCTCCACAAGACGGTGGGCCTCTTGGACCTGCGGCTGGTCATCTACCCCTACCCCGTGGACTGCTACGGGGACGACCTGCCCTGGCCCCCCACCTCCTCCAACCTGCTCAACGGTTCCGTGGACGAGGAGAAGTTCTCCCGGGTCAGCAACGAACTCCAGCAGATGCTGCTCAGCGCCAACCGGGGAGACGCCATCTGGACCACGAACCTTTGTCGCCACAACAGCCTCGACTATTTCAGTTTATAGCCCCCACCCCCTCGGGGCCACCGTACTCTTCTCCTCCGAAATGTGGAATAAAGCCCCTCCTTTTCCTCTGTTGTGGCTGATCTGAGCCCTCTGGGCGGTCCCGGAAGTCGCGCAGCCGATTAAGAGCCAGCAGGGAGGTTTTCCGCAAGCGTGGAAACGCGCCCTGCCGGTGGTGCTGGGCCCCGAAGGAGCCGGTGAACGGAAGCCACCACGCAGGGATGGGGAGGGGGGGCACAGTTGGGGCAGAGGGGGGGCGTTCTGCTCTCTTTCCATCTCCGCTGAAGATGGATGCCAGCCCGCCTTATTTTTCTTTTCAATTGCAATTCCAGTGCATGTAGCAATTGGGGGGGGGGGAGAAGGAATTGTTTTCCTGGTTGTTTGATTGGGGTTTTTCTTTTTTTTAATTCTATACCTGAGAATGTAGCGTTGTGTTGCTGTGGGGGGGGGTCTGAGAGGGGAGGGTGGTTTTCACCTGTGTCGTTTGCCCTCTCGTCGTTGTCGGAGAAGGTGGGAGCAGGTCAGTTGAGAGGGAAACCTCGTTTTAGGACGGGCGGCGGGACGGGGAAGATGACGCAGCGGCTTTTATCTTGAAATAAAAGACGATGGCTCTCCGAGCAAAACGCTAGCCAATGTCGTTTACTTGTGGGAAGGGCTGGGTTCTGCCTGCAGCGCGAGCTGCTCCCATCTTGAATTAAGTTCTGATCAAGTCGAACTATAGATGAGTAGACAAAATTTGACAATAAGAGCGCAGTGGTTAGAAGGCAGAATTCTCGTGACTGCCAGCAGTTCCATGCTGACCGGCTCCAGGTTGACTCAGCTTCCCATCCTTCCAAGATCCGTAAAATGAAGATCCAGATTGTCGGGATACACATGCGGACATTTGTAAACCACTCAGAGACGGTTGTAAAGCACCATGGAGTGGTGTAGAAGTCTAGGCCAGGGGTAGGCAACCTCGGCTCTTTTATGACTGGTGGACTTCGACTCCCAGAATTCCTGAGCCAGCATGAGGGAACTTTGGCCCTTTCATGACTGGTGGACTTCAACTCCCAGAATTCCTGAGCCAGCACGGCTCAGCTTGGAAACCTCTCCCTTTCCCCTCAGCATGGCTGGCTCAGGAATTCTGGGAGTTGAAGTCCACGAATCATGAAAGAGCCAAGGTTGCCTACCCCTGGCATAGGTGGACTTGTGGACTTCAACTCCCAGAATTCCTCAGCCAGCCTCCATTTTGTTTGTTAGATTTAAGACAGGGGTCTTCAAACTTGGCCCTTTTATGACTGATGGACTTCAACTCCCAGAATTCCTGAGCCACCAGTCTTCAAGTTCCCAATAATGGGAATCAAATTCCAGCAGCTTTTTGGGGGAGGGGGAGGAAATAATTTGTGCCAAAAAATAATAATAATGGGTGAGTGTTTTGGTTTTGAGAGAATGCAAAAACTTTCCTAAATGAAAGACCAAAAAAAAAAAGGCAAGCAAAAGACAAAACTTGGTACCAGTTGCCAAATTTGGTAGCCTCCAAAGCCGAAACCTGCCCCCTTTGTACAACTCCCTACAACCCAGAATGTGATCACACAAGATGCCCAAGCCTCTCATTCCTGCTAATTACGACTTCTATTTATTTCTTTATTTGGTCTAGCTTGCCTTTAGTGTCCTTAAAATAACTCCACGGAGAGAATATAGCTAAATACTTTCTCCTCCTTTTTCCCCCACAACTATGAGGGAGACTGGGGGACTGGTCCAAGGTGAGATTTTATGCTTAAGGCGGGACTAGAACTCACCGTTTCCTTGTGAGAGGCTGAAAGTCACCCAGTCAGCTTGCATGCCTAAGGCGGGACTAGAACTCACCGTCTCCTAGTGATTGGCCCAAAGTCACCCAGTCAGCTTTCATGCCTAAGGCGGGACTAGAACTCACCGTCTCCTAGTGATTGGCCCAAAGTCACCCAATCAGCTTTCATGCCTAAGGCGGGACTAGAACTCACCGTCTCCTACTGATTGGCCCAAAGTCACCCAGTCAGCTTTCATGCCTAAGGCGGGACTAGAACTCACCATCTCCTAGTGATTGGCCCAAAGTCACCCAGTCAGCTTTCATGCCTAAGGCAGGACTAGAACTCACCGTCTCCTAGTGATTGGCCCAAAGTCACCCAGTCAGCTTTCATGCCTAAGGCGGGACTAGAACTCACCGTCTCCTAGTGATTGGCCCAAAGTCACCCAGTCAGCTTTCATGCCTAAGGCGGGACTAGAACTCACCGTCTCCTAGTGATTGGCCCAAAGTCACCCAGTCAGCTTTCATGCCTAAGGCGGGACTAGAATTCACCGTCTCCTAGTGATTGGCCCAAAGTCACCCAGTCAGCTTTCATGCCTAAGGCGAGACTAGAACTCACCGTCTCCTAATGATTGGCCCAAAGCCACCGAGTCAGCTTTCATGCCTAAGGCAGGACTAGAACTCACCGTCTCCTAATGATTGGCCCAAAGTCACCCAGTCAGCTTTCATGCCTATGGCGGGACTAGAACTCACCGTCTCCTAATGATTGGCCCAAAGTCACCCAGTCAGCTTTCATGCCTAAGGCGGGACTAGAACTCACCGTCTCCTGGTGATTGGCCCAAAGTCACCCAGTCAGCTTTCATGCCTAAGGCAGGACTAGAACTCACCGTCTCCTAATGATTGGCCCAAAGTCACCCAGTCAGCTTTCATGCCTAAGGGGACTAGAACTCACCGTAGTGATTGGCCCAAAGTCACCCAGTCAGCTTTCATGCCTAAGGCGCGACTAGAACTCACCGTTCCCCAAAGCCACCCAGTCAGCCAGTCTAGAACTCACCGTCTCCTCATTGGCCAAAGTCAAGTCAGCTTTCATGCCTAAGGGGGACTCAGAACTCACCGTCTCCATAGTGATTGGCCCAATCACCAGTCAGCTTTCATGCCTAAGGCGAGACTAGAACTCACCGTCTCCTGGTGATTGGCCCAAAGTCACCCAGTCAGCTTTCATGCCTAAGGCGGGACTAGAACTCACCGTCTCCTAATGATTGGCCCAAAGTCACCCAGTCAGCTTTCATGCCTAAGGCGCGACTAGAACTCACCGTCTCCTGGTGATTGGCCCAAAGCCACCCAGTCAGCTTTCATGCCTAAGGCAGGACTAGAACTCACCGTCTCCTAATGATTGGCCCAAAGTCACCCAGTCAGCTTTCATGCCTAAGGCGGGACTAGAACTCACCGTCTCCTAATGATTGGCCCAAAGTCACCCAGTCAGCTTTCATGCCTAAGGCGGGACTAGAACTCACCGTCTCCTGGTGATTGGCCCAAAGTCACCCAGTCAGCTTTCATGCCTAAGGCGAGACTAGAACTCACCGTCTCCGGTGATTGGCCCAAAGTCACCAGTCAGCTTCATGCCTAAGGCAGATTAGAACTCACCGTCTCCTAATGATTGGCCCAAGTCACCCAGTCAGCTTTCCATGCTAAGGCAGGACTAGAAACTCACCGTCTCCTAATGATTGGCCCAAAGTCACCCAGTCAGCTTTCATGCCTAAGGCGCGACTAGAACTCACCGTCTCCTGGTGATTGGCCCAAAGCCACCCAGTCAGCTTTCATGCCTAAGGCAGGACTAGAACTCACCTGTCTCCTAATGATTGGCCCAAAGTCACCCAGTCAGCTTTCATGCCTAAGGCGGGACTAGAACTCACCGTCTCCTAGTGATTGGCCCAAAGTCACCCAGTGCTTTCATGCTAAGGCGGGACTAGAACTCAAGTGATTGGCCCAAAGCCACCCAGTCAGCTTTCATGCCTAAGGCGGGACTAGAACTCACCGTCTCCTGGCCCCAGTCACCCAGTCAGCTTTCATGCCTATGGCGGGACTAGAACTCACCGTCTCCTAGTGATTGGCCCAAAGTCACCCAGTCAGCTTTCATGCCTAAGGCGGGACTAGAACTCACCGTCTCCTAGTGATTGGCCCAAAGTCACCCAGTCAGCTTTCATGCCTAAGGCGAGACTAGAACTCACCGTCTCCTGGTGATTGGACCAAAGTCACCAGCCAGCTTTTATGCCTAAAGTGAGACTAGAACTCCCAGTATCTAGCCTGGTGCCTTCACTATTAGATGAAGCCGGCTCTCCAGATGAAGCAGTTTTGAGAACCAAAACACTAACTGAACAACGTGAACAGCTTTTATGCACTACGCTGCCCCAAAGACTGATGCAATATAATTTATTATGAGCTGTTATTACGATATAAACATCCATAGTTTTGTTCAAGAAAAACCAGCAGGAAAATGCACAGGGTTTGCTGGCAGCTACAACGGGTTGCCATTTTGGGTGAAATACAGACCTGTATTCATTGCATTTATATCTTGCTTTCTTGCCGGAAGCTCAAGGTGACGTGCATAAGGATCTCTATTTTTATCCCGGCAACAGCCCTGGAATGGAGATTTATCACGTGAAGCGATAGTACCATTCTATACTGCACTAGCGAGGCCCCGCTTGGAATAAGGCATGCAGTTCTGGTCCTCACGATATAAAAAAGATGTTGAGAATCTGGAAAGAGTGCAGAGAAGAGCATCAAAGATAATTAGGGAGCTAGAGGCTAAAACGTGTGAAGAACAGTTGAAGGAATTGGGTAGAGCTAGTTTAATCAAAAGAAGGACCCTGGGGGGGGACAGGATAGCAGTCTTCCAATATTTGAGGGGTTGCCACAAAGAAGGGGGGGGTCAAACCTATTCTTCAAAGCACTCCAAAGTCAGGACAAGAAGCAAAAGATGGAAACTAATCAAGGAGAGAAGCAGCCTAGAACTAAGAAATTTCCTGACGGAGAACAATTAACCGGGGGAACCACCTGCCTCCAGAAGCAGTGAATGCTCCAACACTGGAGGTTTTTAAAAAAGAGACCGGACAGCTATTTGTCTGCAGTGATGTAGGATCTGTTTGAGCAAGGGGTTGGAGTAGAACAGTGGTTCTCAACCTGTGCTCTGCAGACTACTGGAGGGGGGATGTGATGTCACAAGAGGGTTCACAACGCATCAAATTTGCAGATGACACCAAACTGCAGGAATAGCCAACACTCCCATAGACAGGCTTAAGATACAGAAGGATCTGGACAGACTTGAACACTGGGCGCTATCCAACAAAATGAAATTCAATGGTGAAAAAAGTAAGGTTCTACATTTAGGCAAGAAAAAACAAATGTACAAGTATAGTATAGGGGCTACCTTGCTCAATAGTAACTGAGAGGGATCTCGGAGTCTTAGTGGGCAATCCCTTAAACAGGAGCCAGCCGTGTGCTGCAACTGCCAAAAAGGCCAACCCAGTGCTAGGCTGCATTAACAGAGGGATGGAATCAAGATCACGTGAAGGGTTAATACCACTTTACAAGGCCTTGGTAAGGCCACACCTGGAATACGGCATCCAGTTTTGGTCAGCAGGATGTAAAAAAGATGTTGAGACTCTAGAAAGAGTGCAGAGAAGAGCAACAAAGATGATCAGGGGACTGGAGGCTAAAACATAAGGAACGATTGATGGAATTTGGTATATCTAGTTTAACAAAGAGAAGGACGGGGGACAGGATAGCAGCCTTCCAACATCTCCGGGGCTACCCCAAAGAAGAGGGAGTCAAGCTATTTTCCAAAGCCCCTGAAGGCAGGACAAGAAGCAACGGATGGAAACTAACCAAGGAGAGAAGCAACCTAGAACTAAGGAGAAACTTCCTGACAGTGAGAACAATTAACCAGTGGAACAACCTGCCTCTAGAAGTGGTGAATGCTGCAACACTGGGAGTTTTTAAGAAGAGACTGGACAGCCATTTGTCTGAAATGGTATAGGGTTTCCTGCCTGAGCGGGGGGTTGGACTAGATGACCTCCAAGGTCCCTTCCAACTTTTATTATTATTATTACGGATCATCGCACAGTCAGCCAGATGTTCAGACTGGATTTGGCATTTTGTCTACCTATCGAGTCCTTACCCAGGACCTGGGATAGGCAGATGGGGATGTTTGATGGTATTACAGGTATCGTCGCAGGATGGAAGCAGTTCCTAGTAAGGCCGCCTTTTGCAATTGACTAATAACGAATTTGTCAATGCCAATGGTGTTCAAGTGGTGCTCCAGTTGTTTTGGGATTGCACCCAAGGCGCCTATGACTATTGGTACTACCCTTGCTTGCTTTTGCCACAGTCTTTCTATTTGTAGGTCTTCGGCATTGATCTGCTAGTCTCTGTTCTGTTATTTCTGATTCTGGATGTTGTTCTTTCCAGAACTGGTGCATTCGTTTTAGATATCCTCTTCTTGTTGGACTTGATCTGTAGTAACAGATCATTATTTCTTTGTTTTCAATCACTGTGTATCTGCGACGGGTAGACACCTTTTCTTCCAGTAGTTCTGCAGCTGCTGGCCCTGGTTGCTCAGCCAACAGTCCTGAGTTCTGTAACCCATTTTTCACCAGATATCCAGGAACTCCAATATCTAGCGTGGACCTTGTTAACCCGGGCAACATCCGAGCCGGTATGGCATTCTGAAAGTTACGTCTCACCATATTTTTTATGGGAGAGACACTCTTTGACTCCTCTGATGAGACCTGTCCAGTATGGTTGAACCTCTGGCATAGCTCTCATCTTCCTCAGAGTATACAAGCCCCACAACCACGTCAAGGTAGTGCCTCACTGGGGGTATTATTATTATTATTATTATTATTATTATTATTATTATTATTATGTGACCAACCATCCTCCTTTAGGGAGGACAGTCCTCCTTTTGTGAGTTCTGTCCTCCCTCAAAAAGTGTCCTCCTTCATGTCCTCCTTTTCGATATTTGAAGACTAATCTGCAGGGCTTTTTTTTCCCCTCATAGAACGCTCAGAACGGCATTCCGGAACCTTTTTTTTTGATGTTTTTTTTTTCAACTTATTAATGAGCTGTGCTACTCCCCCTATTGGCTTTCAAAAGCCAATAGGAATTGCTGCTAAGCGCACCAAAACACCCGGCCAGCAAACTTTGCATATGTAAGTTGTCTGCAGCGAAGGTGAATTGGCAGGAAATTTGCACCCCTCCCTGCTACCCAATTACACCATCTCCTAGTTAGTCCCGAAGATACCTGGAGGAGACTGGAGCGGCAACGCCACGGTAACTTTCTCTTGATCTTCCATCCTATTACGGCAATAATGGCTGCGGGTGCAAGAGGCAGGGGCAGCAGGGCTGCTGCAGGTGGTGTGAGGGGCAGTGGTGGCCAGCTGCCCCCCGTGCTGTGGGAGCCGCGGGGCCTGCTCTACACGGGGCTGTGCAGGGTAGGTGGTGGTGCTGGCGGGGCGGCTGCAGGCGGGGTGTGTCAATGGCGGGCTGCCCCCTGGGGCCAGAGCCAGCGGAACTGGTACTTTGGGAGCCGCGGGGCCGCTCTACACGGCGGGCAGCAGTGCTGGCTGGGTGGCTGCGGGCGGGGCGCAGTATGTAAGCATAATTACAATATAAAATGTTATTGTTACAAATGTTTTTTATTATGCATTTATCATATTATAGTGTAATCTGTATTATTGTTGCAATGAATAAAATGTTTCTTTTATTTACAATATTTACAATATTTTTTTCTTCAACTTATTTGTGTCCTCCTTTTCATTGTAAAAAAGTTGGTCACCTTAATTATTATTATTATTATTACATTATCATCATCATCATTATTTATTATTACTATTATTATTATAAGCATCCAAGTCTACTCTGGTTCAGCATAAAACTAGACACAGCATCCTGTCTTCTCATCGGCTTGACGTCGTACCTGTGAAACCTACATCGGAGGTGGGTGCTCCGTTCCAAATACCAGTTGTCCCAACGTTCCCCCAGCAACTCATGCTTGGCTGCGCATAGGCCACGATGCCACAATGGCGGTGACCTCATCCCTTGAGGTCACGGCTGGCCAGAATTCTCGGCCTAAGAAAGAATTGGCTGGAAGGCTTTACCGGCAGAAACAAAAACAGGGTGCGTACAAGTGGTGCCCACTGGAGACAGATACGGTGTTCGGTTGGCTTTGCCAACAATGCAGGAACCTTCCGGAGGGCAGGGGCGCTGTCCTCTGCCCACTCAACCTCTTCTTTTCTCTTCGCCAGGTCACAGACCAACACGTCGCAACGCAGGCCAACCTTTCAGAGATCGGCCACGGAGAAAAACGCCCAGGTAGCCCATCCTGCTGATTTGCGCTTCCCATCAATTGGCGCGCCTTGCTTGCGGCGTTTCCAGTAGGTTTGGCTGAAGACAATGGGTTCGGATCTTAGATTAACCAGGGTTAAACCCTCATTGAAAGAAGTCACAGCTTCTTCTAAGATGGCTACTTTCCAAAACGTAGTCCCAGCGTGAGGTTTCGGGTCTAGTCCTCGGAAGAGAACAACGAGGTCTGTTTCCTGACTAAAGTAGTTCCATAGAATTAGCTCAGGCGTCATCTCTTCTGCTCCTCTACAAAGATTAATAATAATAATAATAATAATAATAATAATAATAATAATAATAATAATAATAATAATAATGCCAAATCCAGTCTGAACATCTGGCTGACTGTGCGATGATCAATAATAATAATAATAATAATAATAGAAAGACTGTGGCAAAAGCAAGCAAGGGTAGTACCAATAGTCATAGGCGCCTTGGGTGCAATCCCAAAACAACTGGAGCACCACTTGAACACCATTGGCATTGACAAATTCACCATTAGTCAATTGCAAAAGGCGGCCTTACTAGGAACTGCTTCCATCCTGCGACGAAATCTGTAATACCATCAAACATCCACATCTGCCTATCCCAGGTCCTGGGTAAGGACTCGATAGGTAGACAAAATGCCAAATCCAGTCTGAACATCTGGCTGATTGTGCGATGATCCATAATAATAATAATAATACCAAAACAACTGGAGCACTACTTGAACACCATTGGCATTGACAAATTCGTTATTAGTCAATTGCAAAAGGCGGCCTTACTGGGAACTGCTTCCATCCTGCGACGATATCTGTAATACCATCAAACATCCACATCTGCCTATCCCAGGTCCTGGGTAAGGACTCGATAGGTAGACAAAATGCCAAATCCAGTCTGAACATCTGGCTGACTGTGCGATGATCCATAATAATAATAATAATAATAATAATAATAATAATAATAATAATATGATCCATAATAATAATAAAGTTGGAAGGGACCTTGGAGGTCATCTAGTCCAACCCTTTGCTCAGGCAGGAAACCCTATACCAGGGGTAGGCAACCTTGGCTTTTTTATGACTCATGGACTTCAACTCCCAGAATTCCTGAGCCAGCCTCCATTTTGTTTGTTAGATTTAAGACATTTCGGACAAATGGCTGTCCAGTCTCTTCTTTAAAACTTCCAGTGTTGGAGCATTCACTGCTTCTGGAGGCAGGTAGTTCCACAATGAAGTTACCCGAACCACCACAATTGTTAGTCAACACAGTTTTTAAATGAATCTGGCTGCCCCATGGTCTTCGCCCGTCAGAAGGTCACAAAAGGGGATCACGTGACCCCGGGGTGCCGCGACCGTCGTAAATATGAGTCAGTCTGCAAGCATCTGAATTTTGATCACGTGACCATGGTCGTAAGTGAAAATCAGTTATAGGTCACTTTTTCCAGTGTTGTCGTAACTTCTAACACTGTAAGTTGAAGACTGCTTGCACAGGCTGTTTTGACACTCTGACACCCATGTTGTATAGTTTGTTTTTCGGTCCCACAGTCACAATTTGACGGTGGCGTTTTGCCCCACTTATAGAGGGCGACTGCGAATCTATGAATCTGCATCTACCCCACATCCCTAACTCAGCTGGTTGTTTGAATGTGTCCAAAAAACTCAAGGTGTCACTGGCAACTACAGGATCGAGCCACATCCCGAAGCACACTCCGTCACAAAGTTGTAGTGCCATTGTGATTTCTTTGGTCCCCGTCCTCTGCACAGACTCCCAATTTCGGCCAGCCAGCGGCCAAAGCCCTTCAAGCAGAATCAGATAACTCAAAAGGTCCCCAACCTTTTGGCCACTAGGGACCGGTTCTGTGGAGAAAGCTTTTTTTTGCAGACCGGACAGTGTGTGGTTTTGTGTGCTGCCTGCATCCTACGGATGGGACTTTTGCTTGTTTGTGTGGACCGGTTGCAGGCATGCCGCAGCCTGTTACTGGTCCACGGAGCGGGGGTTGGGGACCCCTGGTATAACCTGACCCCATGGCCAGCTCTCTGCGGGACAACTCAGCGATTCAGATTAATCATTTAAAATAGTTTTTAAACGTATTTCAAGTTTTGCCATTCGCATTTGATTTTTGTCCCTCCTTTGGGATCCTTTCTTTGATATTAGTGTATGTTTTGTCCCGCAGCTAGATGGTCGAGGCAAATTATAATAATAATAAAGTTGGAAGGGACCTTGGAGGTCATCTAGTCCAGTGGTGGCGAATCTATGGCACGGGTGGCAGAGGCGTCACTCAGAGCCCTCTCTGTGGGCACATGTGCCGTTGCCCCAGTCCTAAGCCTTCAGCTGGGTTTAAACAACCTTTTCACTTTAGGCCTTCGCCGCCGTGTACAAAAAAAAGAAGGTTCAATCAGTCAATTTCAACTTCTCGCGGGGAAAAAAAAGATCTTGCAAAGTTGGAATTGATTGATTGAACTTTTTAGTCCAACCCAGTCTGCCGTTACCACCGCAGCCACGCCCTCCCGATGGACCACACCTACCCAGTGGGCCACGCCCACCCGGCATAAGTGGGTTTTGGGTTGCAGTTTGGGCACTCGGTCTCTAAAAGGTTCGCCATCACTGATCTAGTCCAACCCCGTGCACAACGAATTGACTGTGGTGAGATGGTTGTGACGAGCAATGTAAATATATATATACATTGCTTACTGGTGTACACCGCTTAGAGAGTGCTTGCGCTTAAAGCGGTATATAAGTCTCATAAATAAATAAATAAATAAAATAAAGCTCTCCTAGACCCCCCCTCCAAGGCCCTTTTAACAAATTCTTTGTGGGGATTTTTTTTTTTTTTTTGCATTTGCTTTTGTTACTTTTCCCTTTAATAAGGGGAACAATTCAGAACATTCTTCCTTTTTATTCGGTGATCTATAAAAGGGAAGGTGTCAGTCCTCCTTTTCGTTTTTTTTTTTTTTCAGTGAAATCAATAAAAGAGAGACTGCTTTGTCATTGGAGCATTTCAAGTTAAATCGTAAATCAAACGATCTTTCTTGTCTTGGGGTCATAACTGGGATCTAGCAGACCAAGGCGCTTATCTAGAAGGCACATCTTCCTTCCCCTGTCCTGACCACTTTCTACAGGGGGACGATTGAGAGCATCCTGTCCTACAGCATCACAGTCTGGTTTGGAGGCATCCCTGCTTCAGACAGGAAGGTGGTGCAGAGAGTGGTGAGGACAGCAGGAAAGATTATTGGCAGTTCCCTCCCTCCCATCCAGGACACGGCACACAAGTGCTGCTTCAGCAGGGTCCGTAAGATTGTCTGGGACACTACACATCCTCTCCACGACCTGTTGTCCTTGTTCCCTTCTGGGAAGCTTCGTGGTATCCATAGCAGAACATCCAGATTCAGCCAGAGTTTCATTCCATACAGCATCAACCTTGCGAACTCTCAAGCTTCCTCCTTCCGTTATATATTCAAGATGGACACTATTTAATATTTATTTGCTACGTATATGTAGGGATGTGGGTCTATACATATGTTGTTCGTAGTATGTTTAGGTGTGTGTCATGTACGTGTTTCATTTTGAGAGCGGGCAACTAAATTTCATTTTTGATGTGTGCCGTTGTGCCCACAGTATAAAAATGACAATAAAGGTTATCTTATCATTTGACCCATAGACATCGGTACCTCATTGCTGACACCTGTTGTTTCACCTCCCCCCTCCCCAGATGGAGACTTATGAGGATCACCCCTGGTGCTCCTACAGCTATCCAAGTGGGGAAGAGGAGATGACCGGTGAAGATATGCACCACCATGACCGGCAGCTGGCCAAGATCAGAGCTCGGAGTAACAGCCGATCCCGCCACCGATCCTCCTTCCTGGTGGATGAGCTTGACATGCTCATGGACAAGGCAGCCACCACCATCCAGGCAACGTGGCGGGGCCACCTCACCCGTAAGCAGCTCATGACGGAGCAGGCTGCGGCCGCCACTATCCAGGCTGCTTGGAAGCGATACATCTCTCGCGAGTACCATGCTTTGCAGCGGCAGCAGGAGCCTTCGTCACAAGTCTACAGGCGCCGAAGAACGTCCTCCATTTCCTCCTTTGGGGGGGAGAGAGAATCCTGGGGTTACCCCAGGATGGACAGGGAGAGAGCTGCCCAGGTCATTCAGGCACACTATCGGGGCTACCTGACACGCCAGGCCCTCGCCGAATGCCAGCAGGCAGCCACCACCATCCAAGCTCACTGGCGGGGATATCGTACCCGACGGGAAATGGCCCAAGCAGGAAGCCACACTTACCACCCTGGACGCCCACAGAGGACCTACTACAGCCCCCCAAGGTTTCCAACAGGGACCTACTATGGCCATCCCAGCTACATGCCCGGAAGCTCCTCCTGGGTGGGCCCGTACCCCAGGAAACACTGGCGCAAGTGCCTTGTGGGAGACCCCGAGGAGTGGAAAAGCAAGGTACCACGATCCCCGTCCTTCCTGGTCCAGCAAGAGGACCCCAAGCCCTCCCAGCCCAAGACCTGTCCGCGCTGCGGGCGTTGCACCAGCATCCGTGTACTTGTGGGTGTGGGCAAAGGGCTGCCATCAGAATCAGAAGTGGAGGACAGTGAATGCGAAGGACATGCAAGTACCTCTCCGTCCAGGAATGCCCGAAGGACGTCCTACACCTCCCGGCAGGAGAGACCAGCGTACAGCCAGCCACGCCGTTACGGGCCACGCTTCTCCTATCAGGGGCCTTCAAAAAGCTACTCTACGGCTGCCGACGAGCAGCCACGCAGGCAGAGTCGGGAGCCCAGCGTAGTCGTCAGCCAGCGTGTGGCCCCCAGCACACAAACCTCCATCCGGCTGACACGGGAGCGCACCAGCACCCGCAGTCTCTCCTCCACCAGCGTCCAACAGCAGCAGCTACAACAGCAAGGCGTGCCTTCCCAGGGCACCTCCGACTGGTTGTACGACAACTACGCTGCCCGCCGGATGGGCGAAGGCCAGAGGCGCGTGTTCAAGACCAGGAAGCAGATGTGGCAAGTGGTACGTGCAGCCACCCTGATCCAGGCCTTCTGGCGGGGCTGGAGGGTCAGGCAAATGTTGCGTCTGCAGGAAGAAGCGGCAATCAAGATCCAGTCCGCCTATCGGGGTTACCGAACCAGAGCTTACCTGATGGAGGTGGGAATCCTCAGTGAAGGGGATACGGATTAAAACGTTTTCAGGGGACTGGTCCTCTTGGAACTGGGAGGGGGAAGAAGAGGCAGCTCAAAGAAGAACACCAATTTCAGCCTCCTCTCCCTGCCTCCTCTAACAAGGAAGCTTGCATTCTAATAAATTGAGCCTAATTATGAATGCTTCTCAGTTTTGCTTCTAGGGCAGTGGTTCTCAACCTGTGGGTGGGGACCCCATTTGGGATCAAACGACCATTTCACGGGGGTCGCCAAACAATGCAGTCCGCCATTTTTTTCCCCCTTTTCCTTAGCTGTGCTACTCCCTTTTATTCTATTGGCTTTTGAATACAGCTTAATTCTATTGGCTTTCAAAAGCCAATAGGAATTGTCCAGGCTGTCTCTGCCCTGCTGAGCCCGCCAAAAGTCCCATTCTGCAAACGGTGCTGCACCGGTTGAGTAGTCCTCGACTTACGACCGGTTGAGTAGTCCTCGACTTACGACTGGTTGGGGGTCGTGGCATTAAAAAGGTTGAGAACCACTGTTATAGGGACTCCTTCACTTTGTTAAGTGACCACTTGAAGTTAAAATGGCACTAAAATAATGACTTAGGGCAGTGGGGGCGAACCTATGGCACGGGTGCCAGAGGCGGCACTCAGAGCCCTCTCTGTGGGCACGCGCGCCGTCACCCCAGTCCTAGACCTTCAGCTGGGTTTTATAAAACCTTTTCGCTTTAGGCCTCCGCCGCCGTGTGCAAAAAAAAAAAAAAAAGGCTCAATCAGTCAGTCAATTTCAACTTCTCGCGGGGGAAAAAAATCTTGCAAAGTTGGAATTGATTGATTGAACTTTTTAATCCCACCCAGTCCGCCATTACCACTGCAGCCACGCCCACCCAATGGGCCACACCCACCCAATGGGCCACGCCCACCCAATGGGCCACGCCCACCCAATGGGCCACACCCACCCGGCACCCGACAATGCATAAGTGGGTTTTGGGTTGCAGTTTGGGCACTCGGTCTCTAAAAGGTTCGCCATCACTGACTTAGGGCTGTTTTTCACACCTACAGCTGTTGCAGCATTCTTGTGGTCACAGTGTTCAAAATTTGGACGCTTGGCAACCAACGTGTACTTTTGACAGGTTGCGGTATCCCCGGGTGACCCCTTTTTACGGCCTTCTAACAAGCAAAGTCCACGGGGAATCCTGTTACTCCCTTAACAACTGTGGCAAGAAAGGTTGTAAAATGGGGCAAAACTCACTTAACAACGGTCTTGTTTAGCAATAGAAAAGAACAAAAAGTAATAGAACAAAATGAAATTCAATGGTGAAAAAAGGAAGGTTCTACATTTAGGCAAGAAAAACCAAATGCACAAGTACAGCATAGGAGGTACCTTGCTCAATAGTAGTAACTGTGAGAGGGACCTTGGAGTCCTAGTGGACAATCATTTAAATAGGAGCCAGCCGTGTGCTGCAGCTGCCAAAAAGGCCAACACAGTCCTGGGCTGCATTAACAGAGGGATGGAATCAAGATCACGTGAAGGGTTAATACCATTTACAAGGCCTTGGTAAGGCCACACTTGAAATACTGCATCCAGTGTTGGTCACCACGATGTAAAAAAGATGCTGAGACTCTGGAAAGAGTACAGAGAAGAGCAACAAAGATGATCAGGGGACTGGAGGCTAAAACATACAAGTAACGGTTGATGGAATTGGGTATGTCTAGTTTAACGAAGAGAAGGACGAGGGGGGACAGGATAGCAGTCTTCCAGTATCTCAGGGGCTGCCCCAAAGAAGAGGCAGTCAAGCTATTCTCCAAAGTGCCTGAAGGCAGGACAAGAAGCAACGGATGGAAACTCATCAAGGAGAGAAGCAACCTGGAACTAAGGAGAAACTTCCTGACAGTGAGAACAATTAACCAGTGGAACAACCTGCCTCCAGAAGCGGTGAATGCTCCAACACTGGAAGTTTTTAAGAAGAAACTGGACAGCCATTTGTCCTAAACGGTGTAGGGTTTCCTGCCTGAGCAGGGGGTTGGACTCGATGACCTCCAAGATCCCTTCCAATTTTTTTATTATTATTATTACTATTACTATTGTTATTATTAATAATAATAATAATAAAATAAATAATGAAAGAGAATAAATGAGAAATACAACAATACGATTATCCAAAAAAAGAAACATGTTAAGCAGGCAAACCGTTTGGGCTGGTAATTTGTTTAATTATTTAATATTTCATGCTCCAACATTTGTACCTGTTTTTAGGATATTTGTAAGCCGGCCAGAGTCATTTGACAGTGAGACGAGTGACATATAAATTTAAGAAAATGAATAAACGATGTTGGTGAGAGAGATGCCATCGCATAAGTAGGCACCTTCCCAGCCACGTGCAGCCTGACAGCAAGAAACTGTTTCAGCCACCAGAAATCCTTCAGCAGAACCAAGATTCTCTTCCCCATTATCCCCTGCCTCCAATTCCCTAAAAGAAGACAACACAGCCTCAGTAGCCAGGAGATGCTGGCTATATTTAATTGGCTTCTTTGCTTGAGAAAAAAATCTCGCACGCAGCCATTTTGCTCCTGGTGCAACTACACGGCTATGCTGTTGCCTGTGCTTTGGGGGCACAGCTGATTTCATGGTTATGTGATCAACATTCTGACACTTGGCAACTGAGTCACATTTATGACGGTCGCAGCGTCCCCGCGGTTACGTGATCAACCTTCTGACGTTTGGCAACTGTGTCACATATATGACGGTCGCAGCGTCCCCGCGGTTACGTGATCAACATTCTGACACTTGGCAACTGAGTCACATTTATGACGGTCGCAGCGTCCCCGCGGTTACGTGATCAACCTTCTGACACTTGGCAACTGAGTCACATTTATGACGGTCGCAGCGTCCCCACGGTTACGTGATCAACCTTCTGACACTTGGCAACTGAGTCACATTTATGACGGTCGCAGCATCCCCGCGGTTACGTGATCAACATTCTGACACTTGGCAACTGAGTCACATTTATGACGGTCGCAGTGTCCCCGCGGTTACGTGATCAACATTCTGACACTTGGCAACTGAGTCACATTTATGACGGTCGCAGTGTCCCCGCAGTTATGTGATCAACATTCTGACACTTGGCAACTGAGTCACATTTATGACGGTCGCAGCGTCCCCGCGGTTATGTGATCACATTTTGTGACTTCTGACAAGCTAAAGTCAATGGAGAAACCAGTGAGTCGTTTAACAACGGTGGCAAGCAAGTTACAAAATGGGGGCAAAAACTACTTAAGAACTGTCCTGCTTAGCCACAGAAATTTTGGGCTCAACTGTGGTCATAAGGCAAGGACCGACCGCCTGTAAGGTGGAAATAAGGAGGGTTTTTTCCCCCTGCATTCTACAAATGCCGCTGTTGCAGCTTGGGACTGTGACATTATTTTTATCCTTTTAAAGCAAAATGACAGGCAAGGCCCCTCAAAAAACTTGAGTGTCCCACTCAACCTGCGTGAGGGACTGTAAATGTCATCCCTTCATCACTGAAATTTTGGTCAAATTTGCACAGTTTTGGTCAAATTTGCACAGTGAACCTCTTATCCAGCCTTCGGTGAGTTTTTTTCCAAGCTGCACTTTCTCTGCTGACTGTGACCAAAAGCTTTGTGTGTAAAGTCCTTACATCCAGTTGCAGAATGCCCAGGGAGGGTCACAGCTGATGGCTGGGAAACGTTCAGGGATCAAAACCCATTGCTGTCCATCAGCTATCCTATCACGCTTTTGACAGGTCTATCATTTGAAGGTGTCCAGCTTGGTGAGTAAGGTGCCTCCAGGTCCTGTGTGCTGAGGAACAACGTCGGAGGGAGGAAGAGGAGGAGGTGGTGTGGATCCCTCTCTTGCTTGTGAGTGTCCTGGAGGAATCTGATCAATCACAGTGAGAAGCAAAATGCTGGCCTAAGGTGACCTTTGTAGCAAAGCTATTCTGGCGTGCTATGCTTTCAGATTTGAAGGTGAACACGAGGGACCCTCGTGAATTGCTCCACGTCCCTTTCAGAGAACATTGGACAACGGGATGGGGATGATCAACATGGTGAGGGCCGAACGTGCCCCAGGAGTTAACCACAGGGTGGCTTCTCTCGTTGAACATACACGAGTCCTCTCTGCAACCTGTGGAATGGTCCACCAACACAGGTTCCTCCACTCAAGGCCCCGAACTTAAGCAGACAATGGTAGGAGGAGGTCAAGACAACAGCTCCATTGGGGGGAGGGGTGTCCATTCACCCCAACTTCCGTAACTCCACTCAGCAGTGGATTTCGTACGCTATCTGAGGCTGGAGCATCACTCCCTGGTTGGCGAAGAGCTCGCTGTCTTCTTGGGGAGCCTCTTCTTCTCCTTCCAGAGTCTGAGTCGCTTGGTCTTGGAGCTGCTCCGGGAAGACCCCTGCCAGGCCTTGGGGGTCCTTATAGGTGGCAAAGAGGGGCTTGTTGCGGTCAATCACAAACATTTCGTGGCCCCTCTCGTCTCGGTACTCTTCCAGCTGCGCGAAAGTGGTGGGCCCGTCGGAATAGTCGTTGACGTATAAAATGTTCTCCTCCTTCTTCGCCTTTTTCCGCTTGCGGTGTTTCCGGTAGATCATGATCACCAAGAGGAGGGCCACCAGGGCCAGCAGGGAGATGGCCACGGCGATGGCCGTCTGCGTGGCCATGCCCAGGGCGTGGAAGTCCATGCTCTCCATGTCGTAGAGGGGCTCCTGGCTGATGTCTACCGACGCTGGGTAGCCCTGCGATTGTTGCTGATGCTGTGAGAGGTTAACCATGAGGTGGAAGACCACCTGGGCCATCCCCCCGGGATTGGAGGCCTCACATTCGTATTTCCCGGCATGGGACACCGTCACGTTGTTCAGGAACAGCATCCCGCTGCCGGTGTCTGACTGCTCAAAACGCTCCCCGACGCTGCGCTCTCTCAGCTCAAAGCTTCCACTGGGAAGCCGGGTCCGGCTTCCCCTGGAGCCCCCGGCCCGCCAGTGGGCCAGTTTACGCCAGGTCACGAGTGGTTGTGGGTAGCCCGAGGCCTGACAGGAGATGCGCAGGTCTTCACCCAGGCGGGCCATGACTTCAAGTGGTTGCACTTGTACGACCGGAGGGATGCAGATCAAGCTGTTGCCGGAAACGTCCGCTAGGCTTTGGTAGGCCAGGCGTGGTGGCTCCGAACACTCGATCTTCTTGTCCAGGGGGCTCAGGAGCCTCTGGCCTTCCTCTCGGATCCAGCTGCTGAGCCAGTGCAGAGCGCAGTCGCATCGCCATGGATTCTCTGCCGGAGAAAAAAAAAGAAGACGTATCCCGTCAACAATAGTTCACTGGACGTTTTTAAGAGAAGACTGAGCCGTCACTTGTCTGGAATAGTATAGGGCTGAGTAGGGGGCTGGGCTAAAAGACCTCCACGGTCCCTCCCAGATCTGTTCTGACTGATTGATTGATTGATTGATTGATTGACTGGAGGTCCCACAAACCAGTTGAGGACCACGTCCACTCCTCTGTTTGCCTGATACGGGTGGTCCTGGACTTACCACGGTTCCCTTAGTGACCATTTGAGGTTACACAGCACTGAAAAAAAATGACTTAGAGCAGGACTTTTCAACCTTGAAGAGAAGGACAAGGGGGGACAGGATAGCAGCCTTCCAATATCTCAGGGGCTGCCCCAAAGAAGAGGGAGTCAAGCTCTTCTCCAAAGCGCCTGAAGGCAGGACAAGAAGCAACAGGTGGAAACTCATCATCAAGGAGAGACGCAACCTAGAACTAAGGAGAAATTTCCTGACAGTTAGAACAATTAACCCGTGGAACCACCTGCCTCCAGAAGCGGTGAATGCTCCAACACTGGAAGTTTTTAAGAAGAGACTGGACAGCCATTTGTCCAAAATGGTTTAGGGTTTCCTGCCTGAGCAGGGGGTTGGACTAGATGACCTCCAAGGTCCCTTCCAACTTCATCATCATCATCATCATCATCATCATTATTATTGTACCACTTTTAGGACATGACAATATTCGACTACCACCAATGTTTAGCAAGGTGTCAAAAACTTGATGACTAAAAAAAAAAGGGGGGGGATTTGGGATTTTACTGATTAGATTCATTTGTTGTTATAGAAATGGCTGGTTTATAATATTATGGAAAAGTAAAAAAAGTTGTGGTTCAATGTTAATACTTCCTTCTACTGAAACAGAGGAAGTCTGTTCTTTTTCCCTTCTCCCCCTCATTTCCCCCCCCTTTTCCTCCCCATTGTGTCCTACTATTTGCTTTTGTATTTTTGTATTTTATTCTATAATCTAATAAAATATTACAAACAGTAGAAAAAAAAAAGAAAAAAGGACCGGTTTGAATTTCTTCGGTGGCTGTTCCTTTGTTGAATCCCTTTCCCTTTGCACTGACAAATGTCTGATGAATTTATCCATGTTTATTAATATAGTAATAGTAATAAAGTTGGAAGGGACCTTGGAGGTCATCGAGTCCAACCCCCTGCTCAGGCAGGAAACCCTACACCAGTGTTTCCCAAACTTGACAATTTTAAGGCATGTGGACTTCAACTCCCAGAATTCCACAGCCAGCAACGCTGGCTGTGGAATTCTGGGAGTTGAAGTCCTCATGCCTTAAAATTGTCAAGTTTGGGAAACACTGCCCTACACCATTTTGGACAAATATGCACCACTTCCAGCTAGTTCAGGGGTCTTCAAACTTGGCACTTTTAAGACTTGTGGATTTCAACTCCCAGAATTCCTCAGCCCTCACGGCTGGTTAAGGAATTCTGGGAGTTGAAGTCCACAGGTCTCAAAGTTGCTAAGTTTGTAGACCCCCTGAGCTAGCTGGTTGGCCCTTCTTAGCTCTCCTTCCACAGTGTAGTAAGAATGCACTCCCCCCAATTCCTTCCCTGTACTCTTAAAGACACAGGAATCAAGTGCAAAGCAAGAAAATAAAGAAACACAAACTTCGTTTTTTTTTTCCTCTTTAAGCTGTTGTACACAGGCTGTCCTCGACTTACAACCGTTCGTTTAGGAACCGTTACCACGGCACCCTTTTTCACACTTGACTGTTGCAGCCTCCCTGAGGTCATGTGATCAAAATTCAGACGCTGGGCCACTGACTTATATTTATGACGGTCGCAGCATCCTAGGGTCATACAATCACATTTTTGCGACCTCTGACAAGTTAAGCCAGATTCACTTAACAACTGTGCGACTGCAATGATTCACTTAACAACTGCGGCGAGAAAGGTCGTAAAATGAGGTCATAAAACAACTGTCTTGCTTAGCAACGGAAATGTTGGGCTCGGTTGCGGTCGTAAGTTGAGGACCACCTGTAGTCCACTGAGTCCTGTCTCCCTCCCCAGAGAAGGAAACTAAGGCAGGAATTCCGCCTAGTAGACCCGCTTAACGTGACTTTCTGACGGCCGCTTTCTCCAACATGGCCTTCCTCCTGTACCTGGCACCCAAGAGGAAGCCCAGTTGGGGAAGGCTTCCCAGCCTGACGTAAAAAAGAGTCAAAGATGCGGATTCTTCCAATATTTGTAGAGAATATTTGTAGCTCAGGGTTCAGCTCTGGAGTTGCTCTCTAAGTTGATTTGTTTCCTTCCTTCCTTTCTCCCTCCCTCCCTTCTTTGTCCTTGGTGCTCTCTGACCTTAGGTGTCTGCTTGCAGATGTTTCATCAGCCAACTAGATAACACCATCGGTGGTTTTCCTTCCTTCCCTTCCTTTCCCTATCCATCCATCCTTGTGATCTCTGAGCTTGGTGGTTTTCTTGCAGACGTTTCATCAGCCAACTAGGTAACACTATCAGTGGTCTTCCTTCCTTCCTTCCTTCCTTCCTTCCTTCCTTCCTTCCTTCCTTCCTTCCTTCCTTCCTTCCTTCCTTCCCTTCCCTTCCCTTCCCTTCCCTTCCTTTCCCTATCCATCCATACTTGTGATCTCTGAGCTTGGTGGTTTTCTTGCAGATGTTTCCTTAGCCAACTAAGTAACACCATCAGTGGTCTTCCTTCCTTCCTTCCTTCCTTCCTTCCTTCCTTCCTTCCTTCCTTCCTTCCTTCCTTCCTTCCTTCCTTCCTTCCCTTCCCTTCCCTTCCCTTCCCTTCCCTTCCCTATCCATCCATCCATCTTTGTGATCTCTGACCTTGGTGGTTTTCTTGCAGACGTTTCCTTAGCCAACTAAGTAACACCATCAGTGGTCTTCCTTCCTTCCTCTTCCTTCCTTCCTCCCCTTCCTTCCTTCCTTCCTTCCTTCCTTCCTTCCTTCCTTCCTTCCTTCCTTCCTTCCTTCCTTCCTTCCTTCCTTCCCTTCCCTTCCCTTCCCTTCCCTTCCCTTCCCTATCCATCCATCCATCTTTGTGATCTCTGACCTTGGTGGTTTTCTTGCAGACGTTTCCTTAGCCAACTAAGTAACACCATCAGTGGTCTTCCTTCCTTCCTCCCCTTCCTTCCTTCCTTCCTTCCTTCCTTCCTTCCTTCCTTCCTTCCTTCCTTCCTTTCCTTCCCTTCCCTTCCCTTCCCTTCCCTTCCCTTCCCTTCCCTTCCCTATCCACCCATCCTTGTGATCTCTGAGCTTGGTGTTTTTCTTGCAGACGTTTCATTACCCAGCTAGATAACGTCATCACTGACATGGATTCTCTCACTCACACTTCAGTCCCATCTCTTACACAACTGAAAGCAGTGGTGACATGAACCCTTCCCTACCCCTGAAAGCCTGACAACTAGAGTTATGGGGAGCTACCAAGAGTGCTTGATCCACCACGGCTTCTTTAGGCTGTCACTCCAGCTCAGTTGTCTTGCTAAAGCTGAGTCCGATTCCTGGGTTAGACCCAGGCCCTACTCCCTCAAATCCACCAGGCGAGGTCTCCCCACCCTTTATGGTCCCTGCCACGACAGAACATTGATTGGACCCAAGTTCTCAGAGGTTCCAGACTCCTTTCTACCGAGCCATCTTTTCTTTCGGGCAGGAGAAACGAAGGCCTTCCGAAGGTCGCTATGGACACACCTGTCAGTCTCAGCACTTGCAGACTGATGACCGGCCTCAAGGTCACCCGGCTGATGGTGCGCAGGTTGTTCTTGCTGAGGTCCAGCAGGGCTAGGGAGGTCAGCCCGGTCAGCGCCTGGTCCTCCAGAATCTCAATGCTGTTCTCTTGCAGGTGGAGCTCCTGCAGTCTCTGCAGAGGGAAAACAGGAGCACACGTCTTCAGACGGAGCAGAACACCCTTCAGCGGTTCCAGTCCTTACTCTGTGGGTCTTCAAACAGGGCTCTGCAAACCTGGCCACTGTAAGCCTTGTGGGACGTCAACTCCCAGAATGCCCCAGATGGCATTCTGGGAGTTGAAAGTTGCCCCAAAGGAGTCAAGCTCTTCTCCAAAGCGCCTGAAGGCAGGACAAGAAGCAACGGGTGGAAACTAACCAAGGAGAGAAGCAACCTGGAACTAAGGAGAAACTTCCTGACAGTGAGGACAATTAACCAGTGGAACCACCTGCCTCCAGAAGCAGTGAATGCTGGGAGTTTTTAAGAAGAGACTGGACAGCCATTTGTCCGAAATGGTGTAGGGTTTCTTGCCTGAGCAGGGGGTTGGACTAGAAGACCTCCAAGGTCCCTTCCAACTCTATTATTCTGTTAATTTACCAGTGAATGGCTAGCAGTATTATAGTAATTGAGGGGCGGCCACCAAGAAGACGTGTGTTTGTGTGTGTGTGTGTGTGTGTTTGTGTGTGTGTGTGTGAACTTATTTTCCAAAGCACCTGAAGGCAGGACAAGAAGTAAAGGATGGAAACTAACCAAAGAGAAGTAACCTAGAACTAAGGAGAAACTTCCTGACAGTGAGAACAATTAATCAGTGGAACCACCTGCCTCCAGAAGCGGTGAATGCTCCAACACTGGAAGTTTTTAAGAAGAGACTGGACAGCCATTTGTCTGAAATGGTACAGGGCAGTGGTGACGAACCTATGGCACGGGTGACAAGGCGGCACTCGGAGCCCTCTTTGTGGGCACACGTGCCATTGCCCCAGCCTTGACTCCCCCCGCGACCCCCTCCTCACCAGCAGCCCCTCCGGAGGAGAGTCGCCCCTAAGAGTGGCCCATGCGGAGCAGCGTAGCCAAGGACATGGCAGCCAGGAAGCGTAGACAAGACTCTGCCCTCATGCCCCATCGCGCACAGTTGATGCTGCGGGGCGCGGGGAAGGGGCATAGCCGCCATGGCGCTGCTGGGCTGCCTGGACGATCTGCGGTGGGCCGTGGAGGCAGTGAGTGGCCCTGTGGGCAGGCGGGGTGGAGCAGAGCAGGGCAGGGGGTGCAGTGGGGGGGCAGTTTTGGGGCACTCGGTCTTTAAAAGGTGCACCATCACTGGTATAGAGATTCCCGCCTAAGCAGGGTGTTGGACTAGATGACCTCCAAGGTCCCTTCCAACTTCATCTTCATCATCATCATTATTATTATTATTGTCCACAATATCTTAAAGTGGCCAAGTTTGGAGAGCCCTGTCTTAGAATATAGAACTATAGGGTTGGAAAGAACCTTGGAGGTCATCTAGTCCAGCCCCCTGCTCAAGCAGGAGACCTCTAGACCATTCTGGGTAAACGGTTCTCCATTCCCTTCTTAAAAGCCTCCAGTGTTGGAGCACCCATAACGTCTGAAGGCACGTTGTTCCATTGATTGATTGTTCTAACTGTCAGGAAAATTCCTCCTTATTTCTAGGCTTGTTCTCTCCTTGATACGTTTCCATCCGTTGCTTCTTGTCCTGCCTTCAGGCGTTGTGGAGAATAGCTTGACTCCCTCTTCTTTGGGGCAGCCCCTGAGATACTGGAACTCTGCTATCATGTCACCCCCTGGTCCTTCTCTTCACTAGACTGGCTGTGCCCAGTTCCTGCAACTGTTCTTCATAGGTTTTAGCTTCCAGTCCCCTGATCATCTTTGTTGCTCTTCTCTGCACTCTTTCTAGACTCTAGACCAGTGGTTCTCAACCTGTGGGTGAGGACCCCATTTGGGGTCGAACGACCATTTCACGGGGGTCGCCAAACAACGCAGTCCGCCATTTTTCCCCCCTTTTCCTTAGCTGTGCTACTCCCTTTTATTCATTGGCTTTTGAAAGCCAATAGAAGAGACTCTCTTGAATAGAATCTAATTCTATTGGCTTTCCAAAGCCAATAGGAATTGTCCAGGCTGTCTCTGCCCTGCTGAGCCCGCCAAAAGTCCCAGTCTGCAAACGGTGCTGCACCAGTTGAGTAGTCCTCGACTTACGACCGGTTGGGGGTCACGGCATTAAAAAGGTTGAGAACCACTGACCTAGAGTCTCAGCATCTTTTTTTATGTTGTGGCAATCAAAACAGGATGCAATGTTGCAAGTGTGGCTACACCAATCCAGTATAAAACAGCATAAAGGAATCATAAATTTATGATCTACTGGATATTGATTTATACAAACCAAGGCTTAGTTCAATGCATAAACCTAAGCTCGGCCTCAGTTCCCTAAAACAGGGCTTATAAATTGATCAAGGAGAGATTCAACTTGGAAATAAGGAGACATTTCCTGACGGTATCAACCAATGGAACAGAAGTCGCCTTCAGAAGGAGCCCCATCCCTGGAGGCTTTCAAGAAGAGACTGGACTTCCATCTGTCAGAAATGGTGTAGGGTCTGCTGCTTGGGCAGGGGGCTGGACTAGATGACCTCCACGGTCCCTTCCAACTCTGTGATTCTAATTCTAATAATTCTAATTCTAATCCTAATCTAATCCTAATTCTAATAATTCTAATTCTAATAATTTTAATTCTAATCCTAATTCTAATTAATTCTAATTCTAATAATTCTTATTCTAATCCTAATCTTAATTCTAATTTTAATTCTATCCTAATTCTAATCTAATAATCCTAATAATTCTAATTCTAATCATTCTAATTAATCCTAATTCTAATCCTAATTCTAATTAATTCTAATTCTAATAATTCTAATCCTAATTCTAATTCTAACAATTCTAATTCTAATTAATTATAATTCTAATAATTCTAATTCTAATTAATCCTAATTCTAATTCTAATCCTAATAATTAATTCTAATTCTAATTAATTCTAATCCTAATCCTAATCCTAATTAATTCTAATTCTAATTCTAATAATTCTAATTGTAATCCTAATCTTAATCCTAATTCTAATAATTCTAATTCTAATTAATTCTAATTCTAATAATTCTAATTCTAATTAATCCTAATACTAATTAATCCTAATCCTAATTCTAATCCTCCTAATTAATTCTAATCCTAATCCTAATTAATTCTAATCCTAATCCTAATTAATCCTAATCCTAATTCTAATCCTCCTAATTAATTCTAATCCTAATCCTAATTAATTCTAATCCTAATCCTAATCATCCTAATCCCAATCCCAATGGCCCTATGCTGCTGTCAGTGGGGGGCTGAAGGCTCTCCGGCCTCTTTTCCCCCCTGGACCCCCCCAGGGAGCCTGACCTCCAAGTCGCAAAAGGTGAAGTCCGGCAGGCGGGTGACCTGGTTGGCCGAGAGGTAGAGGACGCGCAGGTGCTCCAGGCCCTTGAAGATGCTGCTGTTGATCAAATGGATGCGGTTGCCGTTCAGCGCCAGCTCCAGCAGCCGGTTCTGGTGGTGGAAGGCGCCAGGCTCCAGGGCGGAAATGCTGTTGTTCTGCATGTAGAGGTACTGCAGGTCCAGGAGAGAAGCCAGCTCCTGCTGCCGGATCTGGGTGATGCTGTTGTCCTGCAGGAAAATGGTCTGACAAGTGGGGGGGGAGGGGGGGAGGGAGGGAGGGAGGGAGGGAGGGACAAAGCCCAGATTCAGTCAAGGGTGGGACACAGTCCTTTGTTGCGTAAATTACAGCATGGGGTCCCCGGTGCCCTCCCAGCTGGGTGGTTCTCCTGCAGACGTTTCATGACCTAACTGGGGAACATCATCAGTGGAAGAAGGGAGGGGGGCTTGCAGAAGGAGGAGGAAGAGGAGGAGGAGGAAAGGACTGTGGGGTCTTTGGTGCTCTCTGAACTTGACTGTATTTCTTGCAGACATTTCATCATCCAACTAGGGAACAATATCAGTGCTAGAAGGGAGTGGGGATTGGAAGAGGAAGAGGAGGAGGAGGAAGAAGAGGAAGAAGAGGAAGGAAGAAGAGGAAGAGGAAGAGGAAGAGGAAGAGGAAGAAGAAGAAGAAGAAGAAGAAGAAGAAGAAGAAGAAGAAGAAGAAGAAGAAGAAGAAGAAGCAGAAGAAGAAGAAGAAGAAGAAGAAGAAGAAGAAGAAGAAGAAGAAGAAGAAGAAGAAGAAGAAGAAGAAGAAGAAGAAGAAGAAGAAGAAGAAGAAGAAGAAGAAGAAGAAGAAGAAGAAGAAGAAGAAGAAGAAGAAGAAGAAGAAGAAGAAGAAGAAGAAGAAGAAGAATAAGAAGAAGAAGAAGAAGAAGAAGAAGAAGAAGAAGAAGAAGAAGAAGAAGAAGAAGAAGAAGAAGAAGAAGAAGAAGAAGAAGAAGAAGAAAGGACTGTGGGGTCCTTGGTGCTCTTTGAGCTGGGTGGTTTTCTTGCAGACGTTTCATGACCCAACTGGGGAACATCATCAGTGGCAGAAGGAATGGGGTTTTTGGAGAGGAGGAGGAGGAGGAGGAGGAGGAAGAAGAAGAAGAAGACTGTGGGATCCTGGATACTCTCTGAGCTGGGTGGTTTTCTTGCAGACATTTCGTGACCCAACTAGGCAATATCATCAGCACTAGAAGGAATGGGTTTTTTGTAAAGGAGGAAGAGGAGGAGGAGGGGGAGTTAGCTGTCTTGAAAGCCATTGAAGTTCTACACCCATCTGCCCTCTGGACGTGGAACCATACAAGATAAGCCCCCGCACTGAGAGCGCTCACGACCGACCTTCGGAGTACTAACAATCAGATGACTGCAAAGACTACCAGTCCTTCCCTTCTCCACCATTTGGTCAGAACCGAAGAAGCGTCTTGGATGAGAAGTGAAACGTCTTCAGGGAAAAGCAGAGAAAGCCCGGTGGCCTTCCTGGAAAAGCCCCTTCGGGAGGGAATAAAGAACCTTGCCTGGCTCGTGAGAACGCACCTGGGGGGGGGGAGAGGAGAGGGGGGCGCTGGCGGCCTCACCTGGGTGTTGGGGGAGAGGCCCCCTGGAATGTCCTTCAGCCCCAAAGAGCCACACTCCACGGTCAGGCTGTAGCAGCGGCAGGGCGCAGGGCACACGTGCGCCTGGAACACCAGGAGCCCGAGCAGCAGGAGGCAGAGAAGTGGGACCTTCGCCGGGGCCATCCTAGACCAGCTGCAGGGGAGAGAGAGAGGGAGAGAGAGAGAGGAAGGAGGAAGGGAGAGGGAGAGGAGGGAGGGAAGGAAGGAGCGGGAGAGATAGGGAGGGACAGGGAGGAGAAAGGGAGAGGGAGAGAGTGGGAGGGAGAGGGAGGGAGGAGAAAGAGAGAGGGAGGGGAGGGAGAGAGAAGAAGGAGGAAGGGAGGGGGAGAAGAGGGAGGGAGAGGGAGAGAGGGAGGGAGAAGGAGAAGGGAGGGAGAGGAAGAGAGGGAGGGAGGGAGGAGAGAGGGAGGGAGGGAGGGGAGAGATAGAGAGGGAGAGGGAGAGAGGGAGAAAGAGGAGAGGGAGAGGGAGGGGGAGGAGGGAGGGGAGGGAGAGGGGAGAGAGGGAGGGAGGAGAGGAGGGAGAGGGGGGAGAGAGGGGGGAGAGGAGGGAGGGAGAGAAAGAGGGAGAGGGAGGAAGAGGGAGAGAGAGGGAGAGGGAGGGAGGGAGAGGGAGGGGAAGGGAGGAGGGAAGGAGAGAGGGAGGGAGAGGGGGGAGAGAGGGAGGGAGGGAAAGAGGGAGAGGGAGGGAGAAAAAGGGAGAGAGATAGGGAGGGAGGGAGGGAGAGGGAGAGAGAGAGGGAGGGAGAGGAAGGGAGGGAGAGGGAGGGAGAGAGGAGGGAGAGGGAGAGAGAGAGAGGAGGGAGGGAGGGAAAAAGAGGGAGAGGGAGAGAAAGTGAGAGAGAAAGAATTGCAAAAGGGCTCCCAACACAGGAGAGAATGAGGCAGCGCACCCCAAGATGGCCGGATGGTAACCCTTGGGCAGTCTGGTGATGACGAGGATCATTAACATGATCTCAAGAGTGCCCAACTGGGCCCTTTCTACAGCTAGTCTTTGATTTTTGCCCCATCCTGTTGTGTACAGGTAGCCCTCAACTTTCAACCACAACTGAGCCCAACATTTACGTTGCTAAGCGAGACAGCTGTTAAACGAGTTTTTGTCCCATTTTACCACTTTTCTCGCCGCAGTCGTTAAGTGAATCGCCGCAGTCGTTAGGTTGGTAACAACAGTTGTTAAGTGAAGCCAGCTTCCCCCCCTGGACTTTGTCAGCAGGTCCCAAAAGGGGGATCACATGATCCCGGGGACACTGCGAACCGTCATAAACATGAGTCGGTTGCCGATCGTCTGAATTTTGATCGCACGTCCACGAGGATGCTCTGACGGTCGTAAGTGTGAAAAATGGTCCATGAGTCCCTTTTTTGTGTAATTTTGAATGGTCACTAAGCGAATTATTATAAGTCGACTCGACTTACGACCATTTTTTTAGTGACCATTTGAAATTACAACAGCACTGAAAAAAAGGGACCTAGGGCTGCTTTTCCCACTTAACAACCGTTACAGCATCCTCGTGGACTGGGGGCAACTGGCAGGTACCAAGGACTGTTGCGGCATTCTGGGATCACATGATCCGCCACTCGTCACCTTCCAAGCCGGCTTCCAACAAACAGACCAGCATTCAAGTCAGCAAGACCCCAGTCAAGAAACAGCCACGGAGCCATTAGTAAACAGCCCAACCAAAGCATCCCTAGGACTCCCCCTCCCCAGAGGGGCAAGACCCCAGAATATAAACTGAGGGCAAACAGCTTACTAGCACTGATGATGTTACCTAGTTGGGTCATGAAACGTCTGCAAGAAAACCACCCAGCTCAGAGGGCACCAAGGATCGCACAAGAAACCAACGCTCGAACAATATCGACAGGGCAAACCACTTGTACACAAACAGAGAGTAAAGCCCACTCCTTTCAGGTACTGAAGACGTTACCTAGTTGGGTCATGAAACGTCTGCAAGAAAACAACCCAGCTCAGAGAGCACTAGGGACTCCACAGTCCTTTCCTCCTCCTCCTCCTCCTCCTCCTCCTCCTCCTCCTCCTCCTCCTCCTCCTCCTCCTCCTCCTCCTCCTCCTCCTCCTCCTCTCCACAAAACACTCTCCCTTCTAGCACTGATGACGTTACCTAGTTGGGTCATGAAACGTCTGCAAGAAAACCACCAAGCTCAGAGAGCACCAAGGACCCCACAGTCCTTTCCTCCTCCTCCTCCTCCTCTCCATGAACACCCCCCTTCCAGCACTGATGATGTCACCTAGTTGGGTCATGAAACGTCTGCAAGAAAACAGCCAACCTCAGAGGGCACCCAGGACCCACTCATGTCAACCCTCAGCTACAAAGATTCTCCTTCATTGGTATTTTGGACTCAGCTGGGGTTGTCACACATTGCTTCTGGCTCAGGAAATTCTGGGAGTCGGAGTGAACCAGTTGTAACGTTCCCACCGTTGCCCACGCTTGCTCTGGGGTGGGGGCACCCTCCACCAAGGAGCCTGCAGTGTGGAGCTCCCAGGCTCCCAGAGAGCTTACAGATGTCTGTCTTTAAGGCCCCCCCCCGAGCCTCGCCATAAATCCAAGGGGTCTACAAGCTGGGCAGGGGGCCGTGGGTCTTCCTCCCCCCGGCTGCTTGAATCTTCCTCTTCTTCTTCAAGCGAACTCTTTGCTTTAAGCCCCCCCCCCCAATCCTCCGAAATGTTACCGCATCCTCAAGCTGAGCCAAGGGGCTGGCGTGGCGCCCAGTCTGAGCATCATCACGTGCCGCTTTGGCAGGCTGGGCGCCCAAGAAGCCAAATATAGCACCAAAGCAAGAGAAGGCAGAAGGACACCAGGACACCCCCCCCCCCAGTCAGCAGGACCTCACTTTCAGAATAACAGATTTGGAAGGGACCCCGGAGGTCTTCTAGTCCAACCCCGTTTGAGCTGGAAAGCCTACTCCAGACAAGTGGCGGTTCGGTCTCTTCTTAAAAACCTCCTCGTGTCGGAGCACCCACAACCTCTGGTGGCCAGCAGTTCCCCTGAACAATTGTTCTCCCTGCCGGGAAAGTCACCAAAGGGCCAAGTTTGAAGACCCCTGGTCTATGGAGGTCCTCAATCGTCCAGGTGACGACTGTCCCAAAGCTGCTTTTCCAAAAGGCAACTGGACTTTCTTAGTAATAGTAGTAAAGTTGGAAGGGACCTTGGAGGTCATCTAGTCCAACCCCCTGCTCGGGCAGGAAACCCTACACCATTTCGGACAAATGGCTGTCCAGTCTCTTCTTAAAAACTTCCAGTGTTGGAGCATTTACTGCTTCTGGAGGTGGGTTGTTCCACCGGTTAATTGTTCTCACTGTCAGGAAGTTTCTCCTTAGTTCCAGGTTGCTTCTCTCCTTGATCAGTTTCCACCCGTTGCTTCTTGTCCTGCCTTCAGGGGCTTTGGAGAATAGCTTGACTCCCTCTTGTTTATGGCAGCCCCTGAGATATTGGAATACTGCTATCATGTCCCCCCCCCCTTGGCCTTCTCTTCATTAGACTAGACATACCCAATTCCAGCAGCCGTTCCTTATATGTTTTAGCCTCCAGTCCCCTTATTATCTTTGTTGCTCTTCTCTGTACTCTTTCTAGAGTCTCAACATCTTTTTTACATCGTGGTGACCAAAACTGGATGCAGTATTCCAAGTGTGGCCTTACCAAGGCATTGAAGAGTGGTATTACTACTTCACGTGATCTTGATTCTATCCCTCTGTTAATGCAGCCTAGCACTGTGTTGGCCTTTTGGCAGCTGCAGCACACTGCTGGCTCATATTTAGGTGATTGTCTACTAGGACTCCGAGGTCCCTCTCACAGTTACTACTATTGAGCACGGTGCCACCTATGCTGTACTTGTGCATTTGGTTTTTCTTGCCTAAATGTAGAACCTTGTGTGTGTGTGTGTTTTTTTTATTTGAAAACTTTTCGCTTCTCATCCCCAAAAACTTCTTTAGTTCTTCCATTTTAATCAAAGAAGCTTCTTCAGTTCTTGGAAGGAGAAGCAAAAAATGTTTTCAAAGAAGAAGAAAGAAACAAAACAAAACCGAGTTGCTTTTTTGGAAAAAGCAGCTTTGGGACAAGGTCTGCAAGCACAGATAAGCTCAGAGGGCACCAAGGACTACGCAGAAAACGGTCAGCAATTAATCCGGTCTGTGAATAATAAGCTTTTGGTTCTCCGCTTGTAAAAATGATGGATTCTCAGCGCTCGAGGTGGCTCCTTCGATTTCAAGCTCATCTTGGTGACTGAGTCTTTGATGTGATTGATGAAGAGAAGGACGAGGGGGGACATGATAGCAGTGTTCCAGTATCTCAGGGGCTGCCCCAAAGAAGAGGGAGTCAAGCTATTCTCCAAAGCACCAGAAGGCAGGACAAGAAGCAATGGATGGAAACTCATCAAGGAGAGAAGCAACCTGGAACTAAGGAGAAACTTCCTGACAGGGAGAACAATTAACCAGTGGAACCACCTGCCTCCAGAAGTGGTGGATGCTCCAACACTGGAAGTTTTTAAGAAGAGACTGGACAGCCATTTGTCTGAAATGGTGTAGGGCAGTGATGGCGAAACTTTTAGAGACCGAGTGCCCAAACTGCAACCCAAAACCCACTTACGTATCGCCAGGGGCCAGGTGGGCGTGGACCGCCTGGTGGATGTGGCTATGGTAGTCATGCAGATGGATGGGCATCGCCAGGGTGGGCGTGACCATAATATTGCTCCTGGGGAGGGACGCCTGTGGGGGCAGGATTGGGGGGGGATCCTGGGGGTCTCCATCCTGCGGGGTGAGGCGAGGCAAGGCGAGGCAGGGTGGGGGTGCCATTGTCACAGGGCAAGGCGAGGCAGGGGCCAGGGCGGTTGCTGCCTGACACCATCATCCCCCGCACACAGAGGCCAGCGAGCGCATGGGTGCTGGGATGCATCCGGCCACGTGGGACCTCGGCGAGTTAGCGGGCACGGCTGGTTGAAGAGGAGAGTTGTCATCTCCGGGGCACAGCGCGCATGCCCACAGAGAGTGCTCTGAGTGCCGCCTCTGGCCCGCGTGCCATAGGTTCGCCACCACTGATGTAGGGTCTGCAACGCATTTAAATACAGTAGCCCACCTGCCGGTCTCGGGGAGGGGGGATGTATGGTGAGAATGTGGTTTTCTCCTTGGTCTTTCCTAGGGTATTCCTGCAAGTCTGGCATTCAGACAAGTCAGCCCTCAACAGACCCATAGAGATAAACCTTGCTTTCACCACCGTTGCAAAGAGACCATGAAAAAGCTAAGCAATAAGGCCAGAAGGCCTTCTTTCCAGCAGCCAACACCCGGATAATCGATAGCAGACAGACAATCTAGCAGAAAACAATACCCTAATTAAGGAATTGCCAAGTAGAAAAGCAGATTCCCCACCAACATTTCCAGGAGAGGCTACTGTATATAGACAGAGGAAACCCCACACTCACCAGCACGGATGAGGTTACCTAGTTGGGTCATGAAATGTCTGCCAGCAAAATCAAGCTCAGAGAGCCCTAAGGACCCCACAGTCCTTCTCCTCCTTCTCCTCCTCCTCCTCTTCTCAAACACCCACTCCCTTCTAGCACGGATGATGTTACCTAGTTGGGTCATGAAACGTCTGCAAGGAAACAAGCAAGCTCAGTGAGCACCAGGGACCCCACAGTCCTCTCCTCCTCCTCCTCCTCCTCCTCCTCCTCCTCCTCCTCCTCCTCCTGTCTACAAACCCCACTCCCTTCTAGCACAGATGATGTTCCCTAGTTGGGTCATGAAACGTCTGCAAGAAAACCACCAAGCTCAGTGAGCACCAGGGAGCCCAGAGTCCTTTCCTCCTCCTCCTCCTCCTCCTCCCCCCCTCTTCTTCTCAAACCCCTCTGCCTTCTAGCAGTGATGATGTTCCCTAGTTGGGTCATGAAACATCTGTAAGAAAACCACCAAGTGCAGAGAGCAACAAGGACCTTACAGTCCTCCTCCTCCTCCTCCTCCTCTTCTTCTTTCTCCCTTTCTCCTTCTCCTCCACTCCAAACACCCTTCTAGCACGGATGATGCTACCTAGTTGGGTCATGACACATGTGCAAGCAAAAAACCAAACTCAGAGAGCACCAAGGACCCCACAGTCGTCCTCCTCCTCCTCCTCCTCCTCCTCCCCTTCTTCTCCTCCTCCCTACACACCCCAATCCATTCTAGCACAGATGATGTTCCCTAGTTGGGTCGTGAAACGTCTGTAAGAAAACCACCAAGCGCAGAGAGCACCAAGGACCCCACAGTCGTCGTCCTCCTCCTCCTCCTCCTCCTCCTCCTCCTCCTCCTCCTCCTCCTCCTCGCTTTCTCCTCCTCCTCCACTCCAAACACCCACTCCCTTCTAGCACGGATGATGTTCCCTAGTTGGGTCATGAAACGTCTGCAAGCAAAACACCCAGCTCAGAGACTACTAAGGACTCCACAAGCACCGAGAGAACCATGTTTTGATTGACTGCACCCACCTGGCTCCCTCTGCCTCAGTTCCCCCACTGGAGGGCTAGAATAATACGAAGCTTTCCGAAGGACTTCCCGCGGGCTTCAGAGGCTCTAAAGACCAAATGGCAACAGGGACTCTCGGTCGCCCTTGCCAAACGGAGAAGCAGATACAGCGGGTGATGCACCAGATCACGATCCAGCCTGATCCTCCACGGATAGGGCAGGGATGACGTGCAAAGCCGCCAGCCTCTTAATCCCAGGGGCTTGTAATCAAGAATTCTCCCCTGAGATTACGGTGGATCAAGCATGACAGGTCATTAGAAAACTCAGCCACGGGGGGGGGGGGGAGGGGATCCCATGTGACCTTCAGCTTTCAAAGCCAGGCGGGTGGAATTATGGGAGAAATGGGTGGGCAGGGATCTCCATCCCCCCCCCACAGAGACCACGCAGACCCCCCCCAAAGGGGGTGGGAGTTTCTAGGTTGCCTGCTGGGCAGATGTGTGCGGGGGGGGGAGGAAGTGGGGGGGGGGCTAAAGCATCTGCAAGCGAAGCTCCCAGGGGAAGCTGCAACTCCGTTTTTGCAAGAGAATATTTGAGAGAATATTTAAAGCAGTGTTTCTCAACCTTGACCATTTTAAGGCATGTGGACTTCATCTCCCAGAATTCCACAGCCAGCATTGCTGGCTGTGGAATTCTGGGAGTTGAAGTCCACATGCCTTAAAATGGTCAAGGTTGAGAAACACTGCTTTAAAGGGTTCTTCCATCACAGTCCAGCGGCTTCGGGAGCGTCTCCTTCTCAGCTAAACAAAAGAATGAAGCATCTTCCGGTTGGTTTCCGTACAGAGTACAGAAGAACAGACTTGGAAGGGACCTTGGAGGTCCTCTAGTCCAGCCCCCTGCTCAAGCAGGAGACCCTTGCAGAATCACAGAGTTGGACGGGACCTTGGTAAGGCCACACTTGGAATACTGCATCCAGTTTTGGTCACCATGATGTAAAAAAGAGGTTGAGACTCTGGAAAGAGTGCAGAGAAGAGCAACAAAGATGATCAGGGGACTGGAGGCTACAACATATAAGGAACGGTTGCTGGAATTGGGTAGGTCTAGTTTAATGAAGAGAAGGACGAGGGAGGACAGGATAGCAGCCTTCCAGTATCTCAGGGGCTGCCCCAAAGAAGAGGGAGTCAAGCTCTTCTCCAAAGCGCCTGAAGGCAGGACAAGAATCAAGGGATGGAAACTGATCAAGGAGAGAAGCAACCTGGAACTAAGGAGGAATTTCCTGACAGTGAGAACAATTAACCAGTGGAACCACCTGCCTCCAGAAGCGGTGAATGCTCCAACACTGGAAGTTTTTAAGAAGAGACTGGACAGCCATTTGTCCAAAATGGTACAGGGCTTCCTGCCTGAGCAGGGGGTTGGACTAGATGACCTCCAAGGTCCCTTCCAACTTTATGATGATGATGATGATGATGTCATCTAGTCCAACCCCTGCTCAGGCAGGAGAAACCCTATGCAGCTAGTCCTCGGCCGCAACTGAGCCCCAGAATAACCCTTGCAGAATAACAGAGCTGGAAGGGACCCTGGAGGTCTTCTAGTCCAACCCCCGTGCCTGGCTGGGGAATTCTGGGAGTTGAAGTCCACCAGTCTTAAAGTGGCCAAGATTGGGGACCCCTGCCCTAGCTGACTCTCTACCCTTCCATGAATGAACTCAAAGGTGGAGTTCACACATACTTAACCAGGTCTGTGGTTAAACAACCGCATTTGGCCAAGATGGGCTGCTCACCAAGTCGGTTTTTCTCTAGTTTAGACCAGTGGGCTACAACTCCCAGAATTCTGGCTGGGGAATTCTGGGAGTTGCAGTCGACTGGTCTTAAAAGTTGAGAAAGGCTGCTTTCAAGGTTTGTGCAAAGATGTCCAGGAAGTCCCCAATTTAAAACGGTTCATTTAGTGACCGTTCGGTGTTACAATGGCACTGGAAAAAGATGACCGTTTTTTACACTTACGGCTGTTTCACTTAGCAACATAAATTCTGGGCTGAATTGTCGTTGTAACTTGAGGACTACCTGCATTTTGTGAACCAGGATCAGGGAACACAGTTGCTTCTGATGGCAGCTGCCTCTGATACGCAACACTCTGATCAGAATGCAAATGCAGGAGGGGAAAAAAAAAACCCTTTTAACAAAAGCTTGGGCAGAAAATCAAGATGGGTTTTGTCAAGAAAAGTTTGGCTGGTATTTTCCTGCACGAACGGCCTGATCTACCCTGGAGCCTGCAGAAGCCAAGAGGCAGCCCAGGTGAACTGCAGGAGAGTATTGAAGCCCAAAATATTATGGGCTGTAGAGCAGGAGAAGGCAGAGCCAGAAGGATAATCTCGGGCCAAGAAGCTTAATCTTTAAGGCAGTGTTCTTTAATCTTAGCCATTTTAAGATGTCTGGGCTTCAACTCCCAGAATTCCCCAGCCAGCATGGGTGGCCTCATGGCTGGCTAAGGAATTCTGGGAGTTGAAGTCCACAAGTCTTAAAGTGGCCAAGTTTGTTGAGCCCTGGTTTAGGGCAGTGTTCTTCGATCTTAGCCATCTTAAGATGTCTGGACTTCAACTCCCAGAATTCCCCAGCCAGCCTGGGTGGCCTCATGGCTGGCTAAGGAATTCTGGGAGTTGAAGTCCACAAGTCTTAAAGTGGCCAAGTTTGTTGAGCCCTGGTTTAGGGCAGTGTTCTTCGATCTTAGCCATCTTAAGATGTCTGGACTTCAACTCCCAGAATTCCCCAGCCAGCCTGGGTGGCCTCATGGCTGGCTAAGGAATTCTGGGAGTTGAAGTCCACAAGTCTTAAAGTGGCCAAGTTTGTTGAGCCCTGGTTTAGGGCAGTGTTCTTCGATCTTAGCCATCTTAAGATGTCTGGACTTCAACTCCCAGAATTCCCCAGCCAGCATGGGTGGCCTCATGGCTGGCTAAGGAATTCTGGGAGTTGAAGTCCACAAGTCTTAAAGTGGCCAAGTTTGTTGAGCCCTAGTTTAGGGCAGTGTTCTTCGATCTTAGCCATCTTAAGATGTCTGGACTTCAACTCCCAGAATTCCCCAGCCAGCATGGGTGGCCTCATGGCTGGCTAAGGAATTCTGGGAGTTGAAGTCCACAAGTCTTAAAGTGGCCAAGTTTGTTGAGCCCTGGTTTAGGGCAGTGTTCTTCGATCTTAGCCATCTTAAGATGTCTGGACTTCAACTCCCAGAATTCCCCAGCCAGCATAGCTGGCTGGGGAATTCTGGGAATTGAAGTCCAGACACTTTAAAAGTTGTGAAACACTTTGAGGCAATCCACCCATTTTCAACCGCAGCAGCATCACGACTCTGGCAGCTACCCAGCTCTAGCGATTCACACAGCAAGCAGCTCACGCCAAGCCAGGTCAGCAAACTTGATTCCTAAAAACTTTAAGCAAGGCATCCTTCATTTGAAACGATGAGGTGGCTTTTGGAAAGCCAAATAAAATATATCTTATTCACAGACTAAAATTAGAAATTTTTGGCGTTGCACGGAGGACAGGTCCTGGATAAGCAAAAGTTACTTTGGGGTCTCCGAGCTTGGCGGTTTTCTTGAAGACATTTCGTGACCCAACTAAATAACCTCATCAGGGTCAGAAGGGAGGGAGGTTTCATCATTGTAGCACAGATGAGGTCAGCTGGTTTTAATGAAATGTCTGCAAGCAAATGACCATGCTTAGGCCCCACAGTCGTCGTCTTCCTCCTCCTCCTCCTCCTCCTCCTCCTCCTCCTCCTCCTCCTCCCTGCAAACCCCCACTCCCTTCTAGCACTGATGATGTTACCTAGTTGGGTAATGAAATGTCTGGAAGAAAACCACCCAGCCCAGAGAGCAACAAGGACCTTATAGTCCTAATCATCGTCGTCGACGATGACATCCTCCTCCTCCTCCTCCTCCTCCCCCCCTTCTAGCACTGATGATGTTACCTAGTTGGGTAATGAAATGTCTGGAAGAAAACCACCCAGCCCAGAGAGCAACAAGGACCTTATAGTCCTAATCATCGTCGTCGACGATGACGTCCTCCTCCTCCTCCTCCTCCCCCCCTTCTAGCACTGATGATGTTACCTAGTTGGGTAATGAAATGTCTGGAAGAAAACCACCAAGTTCAGAGGGCACCCAGGACCCCACAGCTCTCCTCCTCTTCCTTTCCACACTCCCTTCTTTTGCTGACTGGGGAATTCTGGTAGTTGAAGTCCACACAACCTGAAGTTGTTGAAGTTGAGCAGTGTTGCCCTAAATAACAAGGGAGCCATGTCTCCCTTTACAATTTCTGGGCCTGCAAATTAGTATCGCTTCGGTCCTATCTCCAACTTGGGAACTTTCAGAATTGTGAATTTAATTTAACCCCATTTAATTTGATTTATTTTAAAGCTTTAATGCACACTCCAGCACAGTTCCTATGGTAAAGACACTCCAAGCCACCCTTTTTTAAAACAATCAACCAGAAATCTTTACAAATAACTCTCCACGAACATCAACACCCACAAAGGACGATTTATGGGTGAACCGCAGTTGGGAGGCCCATATTGTGAAAAAAACACCCCACCAGAATACAAGAAACACAGTTCATTCCGCACATCCCAATTGTTGGGGTGTGCAAGGTCTGCTAAACCTCAAACCTCGCCTTACCAACTGCAGTGCTGAGTTCACACACCCCAAATCCAAACTGTTCACTTAAAATAAAGCTTCCCTTCTTATTTCACCGAGTCTTTACTTCTTTCGGATGCTGCAGTAAAAAACTTGCCGGTTGATTTAAAGGAAGCTCGCCCAGCCTTCCCACACAAAAGCTTCTGTGTTGGGTTCCACAAGCCCCGTGGAACCCACAATTTCCATTGCTAAGTGAAGCAGTCAGTAAGTGAGTTGCGCCCCATTTTACGACCTGGCTGCAGTTGCTAAGGGAATCGTGGGGCTGTTAAGTGAATCTGGCTTCCGCTGTTGAATTTGCATGTCAGACGATTGTAAATAGAATAACAGAATAACAGAGTTGGAAGGGATCCTGGAGGCCATCTAGTCCAGCCCTCTGCTCAAGCAGGAGACCCTTACAGAATAACAGAGTTGGAAGGGGCCTTGGAGGCCATCTAGTCCAGCCCCCTGCTCAACCAGGAGACTCTTACAGAAGAACAGAGTCAGAAGGGATCCTGGAGGCCATCTAGTCCAGCCCCCTGCTCAAGCAGGAGACCCTTACAGAATAACAGAGTTGGAAGGGGCCTTGGAGGCCATTTAGTCCAGCCCCCTGCTCAAGCAGGAGACCCTTACAGAAGAACAGAGTTGGAAGGGGCCTTGGAGGCCATCTAGTCCAGCCCCTTGCTCAAGCAGGAGACCCTTGCAGAATAACAGAGTCAAAAGGGATCCTGGTGGCCGTCTAGTCCAGCCCCCTGCTCAAGCAGGAGACCCTAGACCGTTCCAGACTTTTGCACATTCTTTGCACATGCGATCACATGATCTTTAGGGCAGTGCAACCGTCATAAGTACATGCCAGTCGCCAAGCATCTGAAATTTGATCGCAGGGCCCTGGGGGATGCTGCAACGGTTATAAGTGTGAAAAACGGTCATAAGTCACTTTTTTCAGGGCTGTTGTAACTTTGAACGCTCACTAAACGAATGTCGTAAGTCGGGGATGACCCGTCCTGAATCCCATCCAGGGCCCACAAGATGGCAGAGATGCCACCTTTCAGGGCATCCGCTATAGGGAGCAGCCTTCAGGATGGGCATCTAGACCGGCACCTTCTCCTTCCGGATGCCTTGAACCCGGCTCCCTTGTTCTTAGGAAGGGAGCGGGCCCAGAAAGGGCCTGAGAGCAGCTCTGGGCTCCCAGGAACCTCCCAGGAATGGCTTAGGGCACAGCGAAGCAGTGGAACTCCCTGCTACAAGATGAAGATAGGACCACTCTTGGCAGGCGAGTGCCCGAAATGTTTCCCCCCCACCCGAGCAGGGGGTTGGACTAGAAGACCTCCAGGGTCCCTTCCAACTCTGTGATTCCGTTACTTCTTTTATCTGCTATTCTATTACTCTAGGACGTGGGTTCCCTTGGCTGGGGATGATGGGCCAGGCTGGGCTTCCAGAGGGGCAGGGAGGATGGGTGCCGGGCTCCAGCCCCAGTCCGGGGATGGGGACAGAGGCGACCCTCCCCAGGCACCGGGGGCTTCCCCGCCAAGGGGGCGGTTGGCCCATCCCGGGACCGCCGCCTTCTGGTGGCCGCGAGTCCCGGCGGCCCTTCGCCCCGGGCAGCTGGCCCAGATGCCCTCCCGCGGGAAGAAGCCCCCGGCCCGGCCCACCCCCGCCGCGGGCATCGCCCCCTGCCCGTCCGGCTCCGGGAGCGGCCCTGCCGCGGCCCTCGCTCACCTGCCCCGCCCGGCTCTCCATGGCATCGGCGGCCTGGCTCTGGCTGGCGCGGCTGCGGTGCCCGCCCGGCTCGCCTGGGCAGCCCCGAGTGCGCCGCTCGGCCTCCGCCAGGCAGGGACGCCCCCCGCCCCCGCCCCGGTGACGTCAGCGCCGCCCCCGCCCCCGCCCCCGCTGTGGACGCGCGTGTTGCGGGGCGCGCTGGTCGTGGGAACCGGGCAGGGCGAGGGAGGGAGGGACAGGTGCACGGGTGGATGGGTGGGTGGGTGGATGGATGGATGGATAAATGAATTCATGGAAGGATGGAAGGAATGAGGAAGGAACAGCTGCACGGGTGGATGGGTGGACGGATGGGCAGGTGGATGATGGATGGATGGATGGATGGATGGATAAATGAATTCATGATGGATGGATGGATGCATGAAGGGAGGGAGGGACAGGTGCATGGGCAGATGGGTGGATGGATGGATGGATAAATGAATTCATGATGGATGGATGGATGGATGAAGGGAGGGAGGGACAGGTGCATGGGCAGATGGATGGATGGTTGGATGAATGAATTCATGGATGGAAGAATGGAGGAAATGAGGGAGGGACAGCTGCAAGGGTGGATGGGTGGATGGATAGACGGATGGATGAATGGAGGGAGGGACAGGTGCACAGGCGGATGGATGGATGGAAGGATGGAGGGAGGGACAGGTGGACGGATGGACAATGATGGATGGATGGATGGATGAATAAATGAATTAATGGATGGATGGAAGGATGGAGGAAATGAGGGAGGGACAGCTGCAAGGGTGGATGGGTGGATGGATAGACGGATGGATGGATGGATGGAAGGATGGAGGGAGGGACAGGTGCATGGGTGGACGGATGGACATTGATTGATGGATAGATGGATGGATGGATGAATAAATGAATTCATGGATAGAGGGAGGGTGAGCATGTACACAGGTGGACGGGCAGATGGATGATGGATGGATAAATGAATTCATGGACGGATGGATGGATGAATGGATGGAAATGAGGGAGGGACAGCTGCACGGGTGGATGGGTGGATGGATAGATGGATGGATGGAGGGAGGGAGGGAGGGAGGGAGGGACAGGTGCACAGGTGGATGGGCAGATGGATGGATTGATGGAAGGATGGAGGGAGGGACAGGTGCATGGGTGGACGGATGGACATTGATGGATGGATGGATGAATAAATGAATTCATGGATAGAGGGAGGGTGGGCATGTACACAGGTGGACGGGCAGATGAATGATGGATGGATAAATGAATTCATGGATGGATGGATGGATGAAGGATGGAGGAAATGAGGGAGGGACAGCTGCATGGGTGGATGGGTGGATGGATGGATGGATGGAGGGAGGGACAGGTGCACAGGTGGATGGGCAGATGGATGGATGGAAGGATGGAGGGAGGGACAGGTGCATGGGTGGACGGGTGGACGGATGGACAATGATGGATGGATGGATGGATGGATGGATAAATGAATTCATGGATAGAGGGAGGGAGGGCAGGTGCACAGGTGGACAGGCAGATGGATGATGGATGGACAGATGGGCAGGTGGATGAATGGATGGAGGATGGATGGATGGATAAATGACTACGTGGAGGGGGAGGTTTTAGGCACAGGGGTGGGCCCTACAGAGCTTTGGGCAGGGGCCTACAAAAGAGTTTTGTTAAAAAAAATGAAAGTAGGGAAAGCAATAAAAGAATAAAAAATCAATCTAACCTATACTTAAATATATGGGAAAATGTTTTATCGACTATGTCTGGAAGAAAAGCAACAAGCTGACTGAACGGGGACTCTCTTTATAATGCTGGCCATCTGGATTATACAGGTCGTCCTTGATTGACAACCATCCTTGAGCCCAAAATGTCTGTTCCTGAGTGAGACAGTTGTTAAATGAGTTTGTCCCGTTTTACGACCTTCCTTGCCACAGTTGTGAGGTCAATCGCTGCAGTTGTTCAGTTAGTGGCACAGTTGTTAAATGAAACTGTATAGTTCAGTGTGTCTCAGCCTCAGCAACTTCAAGATGGGTGGACTTCAATTCCCAGAATTCAAGCTGTGCTGGGCTGGGGAATCCTGGGAGTTGAAGTCCACCCATCATAAAGTTGGCCAGGTTGAGAAGCTTTGATCTAACTAGGTTTGTTTCTTTCACCCTCAGCTGTTTGCCTTCTGAGTCCAGGGTCCACCTACCCTGATTCCAACTTCTTGGTTATTTTCACACCATGGAAAACTGGCGTTTCACCTGTCAGGGACCCCAAGGGTCATCTAGCTCCACCCTCTGCAATGTGCAGGGGGGGGGAAACCCATTCAGTTACTTTTCCAGCCTCTGTTTAACCCATCAAGCAAGCTGCTGTCTTTCTATAGCAGCCATTATAAGGGAGTGCTTAGCATGCACTACAGAATTTATGCACACGCAGTGCACACACACACACGCACACACACCGCAAAAATCATGGGCTCAGCAATTGAATTGCAAAAATAAAACAGGCTTATGCTCAGAAAGCACTTTAGGCTTGTGACTGTACATTAGCTGGCTGAATGTCACTGGGTTTTGTAGTCCCATGGGCCCAGAAGACAGAGGCTACACAGCAAAATGCAGACGATATTAAACAGTATATATATATTTTTTACACCCAGCAGAATCTTGCTAATGCGACGTGTGCATATTCAACTTTCTTTTATTCTCGTTATATTTTTATAATCAGCCAGACAACGTAGGGGGACGGCAGACTCTCTAAAGACAACGATTGCTTTTCGCTCAAAGAAGGTGTGTATAGTATACTGTAACATATTTCCTACTTGACCCCGGAGCTGGTATTTGAGAACTGCAGCTTAAAGGCAATACATGGTTGGACTAGCTGACCTTAGAGCAGTGGTTCTCAACCTTTTTAATGCCGCGACCCCCAACCGGTCGTAAGTCGAGGACTACTCAACTGGGGCAGCACCGTTTGCAGAATGGGACTTTTTTCTTTTCTTTTTTTTTTTATTGAAAATTTTTTAAAAGTTTTACAAATAACAACAAACAAAACAACCTTCACCCAATCCCTCCCAAGCCCCCCCTCCCTCCCCCCCCCGAACTTCCCAGAACTGAATATAGGCTTATTTAAAATTTTAAAAAACCTAAACAAATTTTAACATCTTATAAAATAATTAATAATAAAATATATATAACATTAAAAAGAGAAAATACTTAAAAAGAAAAAAAGGAAAGAAGAGAGAAAGAAAGAGAGAAAAAAAAAATAGAAGAAAGAAAAGAAAAAAAAGTATAAAATATCAAAAATTTTTATACAAGTTATAGAAAAGCTAGATGATATTTTTTTATATCCAATTTATATTGTATAAAATTTATCCATTTTTCCCATACAGCAAAAAATTTCTCTTGCGATTGCTCCTTTAAAAAAGCTGAAATCTTGCCATTTCCGCCAAATAAGAAACTTTAAAAAGCCACTCTTGCAAAGTAGGCAAAGATTCCTTCTTCCAATATTGCCCTACTAACAGCCTTGCGGCTGTAATCAAATTTAACATCAATATAACCTCCTTAGCATCGCAATCAATAACAATACCTAACAAAAATAATTGCGGGGTAAATTTTACCTTCCTTCTAAAAATTCTTTGAATATTCCACCATATCTTAATCCAAAAGGCTTTTATGTTTTTACACGACCACCAAATATGATAATAAGTGGCATCCAAACAACCACATCTCCAACATTTAGGCTGTATATCAGGGTACATAATAGACATTTTTTGTGGATCAAGGTGCCATCTATAAAACATTTTGTAAAAATTCTCCCTTAAATTCTGGGCTTGTGTGAATTTAACATTCCTCACCCAAATAATTTCCCAGGTATCCAGTGGGATTGGTTCACCAAAATTTTATGCCCATTTAACCATACAATCTTTGATTAGTTCAGATTCTGAATCCAGTTCCACTAGAAGTCCGTAAACCCTCTTAATATGAGTTTGTCTTTGATCCTTTACTTGTATAACAAAATTTTGATCTTCTCTAAGCCAGCCCATATTACAATCCATCTTCCATCTGTCCACTAATTGTCTATATTGAAACCATGAATAGGTAATATTTTCATGTACTAAATCTTCCAAAGATTTTAACTGCCAGTTTTGACCATCCCATCTAAGTAGTTGTGTGTAAGAAACCCTATCCATTTTAACTCCTCTCCTTATCCCCTCTATCGCATGCCAAGGTATGGCCCATAAAGGTATTTTAAAATCACTCTTATAATATTTCCTCCAAACCCTAAGTAAAGAAATCCTTATAATATGTGATTTGAAAACTCGATCCACTTTTTTATTAAAAATTAAGTAGGCATGCCATCCAAAAACTAAATCCCAACCCTCCAGATGGAGTATTTCTACATTTGTTAAATTTACCCAATCACTAATCAATGTTAAGACCACAGCATCATAATATAATTTCAGATTTGGTACCTGGAGTCCACCTCTCTCACGGAAATCTTGCATGATTTTAAGCTTTACCCTTGGTTTTTTCCCTGCCCAAATACATTTGTTGATGCCTTTCTGCCATTCATTTAAATTAAGCTCATTCTTTAAGATAGGTAGCATTTGAAACAAAAAAAGGAATTTTGGTAGGACATTCATTTTAATAACTGCAATTCTACCCATAAGAGATAACTGTAACTTGTCCCAGTTCTTCAAATCCTTCTATACCCTGATCCACAACTTTTCATAATTATTCTTATACAATTTTACATTAGAAACAGATAATGTAACCCCCAGATATTTTACCTTATCAACAACTTCAAAATCTGTTAAATTAACCAAAATCTGTTTATCACAATTAATCATGTTTTAGGTAATATTTTAGTCTTATTATTATTAATTTTAAAACCCGAAACACAACCATATTGATAAATCAATTGTAATAACTTTACTACAGAGTACGTAGGTTGAGACAGAGTAACCACCAAATCATCTGCAAAGGCTCTTAACTTATATTCTTTTTTGTTAACTTCTATTCCTTTTATTTCTTGCGACTCCCGAATTTTGATCAGCAAAATTTCCAATGTTAAAACAAACAATAACGGAGATAATGGACATCCCTGTCTTGTACCTTTTTCTATTGTAAAAACCTCTGACAAACCCCCATTAACGATAATTTGAGCAGTCTGTTTTTGATATATGGCACCTAAAGCTTGTGATATTTTTTCTCCAAAATTCATCTCCTTAATTAAACTTAGCATAAACTGCCAATTCAGTTGGTCAAAGGCTTTTTCAGCGTCCAAAAATATCAGCCCTGCAGAGATTTGGTTGTTCTTATCTAAATATTCTAATAAATTAATAATTTGTCTAACATTATTTTTCATATACCTTCCAGTTATAAAGCCCGATTGATCCTTATGTATAAGCTGCTGCAAAACCCCCATAAACCTATTAGCTAAAATTTTTGCAAAAATTTTATAATCCACATTTAAGAGAGATATAGGCCTATAATTCTTAGGTAAAGTAAGGTCTTGGTCCTTTTTTGGGATCAAAGATATAAAAGCACTGCGCCATGACGGAGGAATCTCTAAACCCTGTAGTATATTATTAAAAAGCTCACATAAAGGTTGAGTCATCTCTTCTACTAAAGTCTTGTAATAAATAGATGTCAAACCATCCGTACCCGGCGCTTTACCTAGTTTTAATTGCTTAATAGCTATCACTATTTCCTCTTTAGTAATTAAACCATTAATTTCTTGTTTCTGATCTTCTGTTAGTTTAGGAAACTTGGCCTTACTTAAGTAATTGTTTATAACCGTAGTTTGTACATTGGTACTCTTATATAATTTCTGATAATAATCTAAAAAAGATTTCTTAATCAATTCTTTCTGATAAACGAATTTACCATTATAGTTTATTTTATCAATAATTCTCTGTCTCTGTTTCTTTCTTAACTGATAAGCCAACCATCTCCCTGGTTTATTAGCATTACAAAATGTATTTTGTTTCATAAACATTAAGTTAGTTGCAGCTTGATCAGCCATCAACATATTAAATTGTGTTTTTAACAACTTTATAGCTTCTTTAACCTTTTCATCTGAAGGGTTTGAAATTAAGGACTTCTCTTTTAATTTAATCTCATCTTCCAGTTCTTTACGTTTCTGAGTCTGCTTTTGTCTATGAACATTATTCATTTTTATCAAAATCCCACGCATAAAAGCTTTACCTGCATCCCAAACCATTGACATTGGTGTTCCCTTATACATATTTAAAACAAAATAATCCTTTAAGCATTCCTTTAATTTTTGAACATTTTTTTCTTGTTTAAATAAATTCTCATTCACCCTCCAAGTTCTCCTCTCCTCTTTTTCAATAGCCAATTCCATCCAGACTGGACTGTGATCCATCAATGACCTAGGAAAAATTTTAACATTCTTCACCCTGTTATATAGATCAGTTGTAATCAAAAAGAAATCAATCCTTGAAAAAGATTGGTGTCTATCTGAGAAAAAGGTGAAGTCTCTTTCCTCTTGATTACGTTCACGCCAATAGTCTCTCAACTCCCAGTCCTCTTTCAAATCAAAAAAAGCTTTAGGTAATTTAGCCTGTTTAAAAAAAGTAGAAGAACCTTTTTTGTCTTTTTGTATATCTAAAACACCATTCCAGTCTCCCATTAATATCACAGACCTATAGTCCAACAAAGTTATTTTCTGATGTAACAACCTATAAAATTGTTCCTGTTGCTGGTTTGGTGCATACAATCCCACTATAAGTATTTTCTTACCATATAAGCCAAGTTCAATCATAACATATCTTCCTTGAGGATCTGATTCTACCAGACAAGCTGGTAGACTTTGCTTGACATAAATAACCACACCCCCTTTTTTCCCAGGGGCAGGAGATACAAAATGAGACCCCAAGCGAGCATTAACTAAATATTTTTGATCTTTAAGTTGAATATGAGTTTCCTGCAGGCAAATTATATCATTATTATGTTGCTTTAGATAATAAAAGATTTTCTTTCTTTTCTGCAGGGAGTTGAGACCGTTAGCATTCCAAGTCAGGAACTTTGCCATCTCCCTCAACCAAGAGCCTGGAGAAGACTGCCTGGAGATCTACCACTGAAGAATATATTGCAGAACTCTTGAGTCTTGCTCCTCCCACCGGCATTGACACGCTCTCATGAGAAGATTCTTTAACTTCTTTCTTCTGTTGTTCCTTTTCCTTACGTTTATGTGCTGCACGGGTCATTCTCTGCTCTTTGACCTCTGCTTGACGCAGCCATTCCACCTGTCCAACAGCCATCAAACCTGGTTCTTCAGACTGCTGTTCCACCTCTTTGCCACTCAAAGCTTTCTTTGGTTTAATACAGTGGTTCTCAACCTTTTTAATGCCGCGACCCCCAACCGGTCGTAAGTCGAGGACTACTCAACCGGTCGTAAGTCGAGGACTACTCAACTGGTGCAGCACCGTTTGCAGAATGGGACTTTTGGCGGGCTCAGCAGGGCAGAGACAGCCTGGACAATTCCTATTGGCTTTTGAAAGCCAATAGAATTAGACTCTATTCAAGAGAGTCTATTCTATTGGCTTTCAAAAGCCAATAGAATAAAAGGGAGTAGCACAGCTAAGGAAAAGGGGGGGGGAAAATGGCGGACTGCATTGTTTGGCGACCCCCGTGAAATGGTCGTTTGATGGGGTCCCGACCCGCAGGTTGAGAACCACTGACATAGAGATTCCTGCCAGCGCCACAGTCCCAAAGTGGATAAATTGATGGGGGGGGGGGGGTAAATCAGGAGGACTCTGGGTGTATCTTTTTTCAAGTAATCAATTTTATGCAAAGGTGAACCTTTGGTGAGGAAATGCTGATTTTGTTTAGCTACCATAGCAAGCTAAACAAGTTTAAGATGCGTAGACTTCAACTCCTGGAGGAGGAGGAGGAGGAGGAGGAGGAGGAGGAGGAGGAGGAGGAGGAGGAGGAGGAGGAGGAGGAGGAGGAGGAGGAGGAAGAGGGTGATGATTGTGGAGTCCTTGGTGCTATCTGAGTTTGGCTGTTTTCTTGCAGACGTTTCATGACCCAATTAGGGAACATCATCAGTGCTAGAAGGGAGAGGGGGTTGTGGAAAGGAGGAGGAGGAGGAGGGGGAGGAAGAGGAGGAGGACGACTGTGAGGTTCTTGGTGTTCTCTGAGCTTGGCTGTTTTCTTGCGGACATCTCATGACCCAATTAGGGAACATCATCAGTGCTAGAAGAGAGATGGCTTTGCTCTTTGTTTATATACTAGTGGATTTGTCTCTCAGTATTGGTGGGAGTGCTCCAGGATCTCTCTATTGTTTTTGGATTTAGTACCGGTTGTCCTTGACTCACAACCACAACTGAGCCCAAAATTTCTCTTTCTAAGTGACACACAGGAGAACAGTCATAAATCTCCCCCCTTTTTTAGAACTGTTGTAACATTGAATGGTTACTAAACGAACCGTTGTAAGTTGCACGTCGAATACAGCTTCGTCTGTTACCACGGTGATATATTTTCTCTCTTCTTCGCACATCTGCAGATTGCCACATTAATTTCCCTCTTGTGGTGCTGATGTTAGGGATGATAGGGATGAGATGACAGAAAACAAACCAACCCTGAACTCTGCAACTGAGAATGCTTGGCCACTGATTTATATTTATGACGGTCACAGTGTCCCAGGGTCATGTGAAGTGACCAAAACCTGCTGCAACCACCCAGAAGATGGGGGGAATAAAAACCGAACACCCCCTCACCCCATCCTCGCTGCCAATCCTCAACAGAAATGCTCACAACAATGAAAACCTTGGACAGGAGGAAGAGCACCACCGGGTGGGCAGGCAGGTGTCTTGCTCGGCTGTGGCTTGGGGGGCACTTTTTTCAGTGCCATTGTAACTTCCAAAAGTCACTAAGCGAACTGTTGTAAGTCGAGGACTACCTGTACTTTATCACTTTTTTCCTTTTTTGGGGGGGGGATCATCAAGTTTTTGACACCTTGCTAGGCGACTGGTGGTACTCGGATGTTTGCCATATCCTAAAAGTAGTACAATGGGTGAAAAAGTTGAAAAGCCTTGGACTAGATGACCTCCAAGGCCCCTTCCAGTCCTAGGATAATTACGTTGAATTTGCTCAGGAGAGTTGAAGATAAAGATAGGACTGTCTTTATAATGTCCAAGATAAAGGAGGGCTGTGAAAATTCATGAAAATTAACTACTGACATGAGACAATAAAGGACACTCTATTAGTAAGAGGTGATGTATTAGGATGAGAAATAGAAAATGTTTATGAAATAAAATAAGAATATATTTAAGTAAGTAATATGTGTATTTTAGATATATTATAACTTTTATGTAGTGAAATAAAGGAAATTTGGGTTACTCGAAACTTAAATACTATGGATGTTAAAAGGTTAAATTGGAATACTGTAATTAAAAATTAGGTAAAACTTAAAAACAGGATGTGGAGATGTATAAGGAAAAAATATATTGATAAATGTTTTAACTGAGCATGTTAACAATTAGAAATTTACTAGCTTAAACATGATATAGCAAATGTTAAGGGAAATAAGAGAAGGAATTTTTGATGACGTCACCTGAGATATGCACTAAAGATTTTATTATTGAATTATTGACCACCCAATCACCACGCTGCTTTCTAAATACTTAAATGTAAAACTGGAAAACCAATAAAATTTGTTATATATATAAAAAAAGGAGGACTGTCCCAGGGCCACTGCCCGCGCCCACATTTGGGGAATCTACTCTTCAGTCGACTGAGTTTCCCGCCGCTAAGCAAAGTTTGGCTTTAATTTATGTTTATATTTTTTTTTATTAAATTTATATGCCACCCCTCTCGCTGGCTGAAAGGAGCTGTTGGTTGTCCATGGAGCAAGCTTCAGGAAGTCAGAAGACCCGGCACTTAAGCCATGCAACTGCCTGGACACAGACCAGCCCTGCGCACAAGCCATAAAATGATTTTATTCCCAGAGAATTTGTCCAGGATCCTTGCCCAACTGGGGTTCTGGATAGACACTTCCAGCGACCTTCTTGAGATGTTCTCCTCGGATCAACCCAAGGCGCCCAGACCGGTAGGAGGGACGTGGTTTGGGTTGCTGTCAAGCCAAAGATGTTCACGACGGTCCCAAGCGTCGACAGGGAGTCCTCGCTTTGCGACGGCCTCAGATCAAGGGCAGCAGCTCGTTGGTGAGCGCGTACCTCTTCTCCTGCCAGCGGAAGTGAGTGGGCGGCCGACCGGCTCCGTCTTGGTACTCGAAGCCAGGGCTCAGCTCAAAGGCCAAGGATGACTTGACCAGTCCCACCCCGCCGGCCTTTTCCGGCCCCGGGTGATAGACCCGCCCGTTCTCGGGCAACATGACCAGCTTCTCCGGCTGGAAGGGCAGGGCCAGGCGGTCGGCGCCCCCGCAGAAGGAGAGCAGCTGCTGGCCGGAGGGCCCTTCCAGGAGGTGGGTGAAGACCACGGGCCGGTCGTCGCAACGGAGGTAGTTGTGCTCCCGGCCGCAAGGCGACAGGTAAGGGAAGGAGTCCTCGTAGCGGCCGCTGCGGTTCAGCTTGAGCTGCTTGAAGAAGAAGACCAGGAACTGCTTGTCTGTCGGAGGGAGGGAGGGAAGGAAAGTGGAGAGGCCGGTCAGCGGGGCACAGCCAGGCTCAGTGGGGCAAACGGAGGATGGGGGGAGGGGGGCTTCCCTTCACTTTGGACGGGGCAAGAAGCCCGCAACACAATGGCTCCCTCTGCTGATATAGGAACAGAACAGAACAGAATAGAAATAGGAATAGAATAGAACAGAACAGAAATAGAATAGAATAGAATAGAATGGAATGGAATGGAATGGAATAGAATAGAAAAGAAAATATGGAATAGAATAGAATAGAATAGAATAGAATAGAATAGAATAGAAAATATGCAATAAAATAGAATAGAATAGAAAAGAAAAGAAAATATGGAATAGAATAGAATAGAATAGAATAGAATAGAATAGAATAGAATAGAATAGAAAATATGGAATAGAATAGAATAGAATAGAATAGAATAGAATAGAATAGAATAGAATAGAAAATATGGAATAGAATAGAAAAGAAAAGAAAATATGGAATAGAATAGAATAAGGAATAGAATAGTAATAGAACAGAACAGAACAAAACAGAATAGACCAGTGATGGCGAACCTTTTAGAGACTGAGTGCCCAAACTGCAACCCAAAACCCACTTATGCATCGTTGGGTGCCGGGTGGGGGTGGCCCATTGGGTGGGCGTGGTAACGGCACACTGGGTGGGACTAAAAAAGTTCAATCAATCAATCCCAACTTTGCAAGATCTTTTTTTTCCTCGCGAGAAGTTGAAATTGATTGAACTTTTTTTTTTTTTTGCACACGGCGGCGGAGGCCTAAAGCGAAAAGGTTTTATAAAACCCAGCTGAAGGCCTAGGACTGGGACGAGGGCGCGCGTGCCCACAGAGAGGGCTCTGAGTGCCGCCTCCGCCACCCGTGCCACAAGTTCGCCACCACGGGAATAGAATATGGAATGGAACAGAACAGAGCAGAGCAGAGCAGAATAGGATGGAATGGAATGGAATAGAATAGAGCTTGGAGGTCTTCTAGTCCAACCACCTGCTCAAACAGGAGACCCTATACAATCTCAGACAAGGGACTATCCAGTCCCTTCTTAAAAACCTCCAGGGATGGAGCGCCCCACCCCTTCTAGCACTGATGATGTTCCCTAGTAGGGTCATGAAACGTCTGCAAGAAAACAACCAAGCTCAGAAAGCACCACAGTTCTCCTCCTCCTCTCCACAAACTCAACTCCCTTCTAGCACTGATGATGTTATGTAGTTTGGTAGTGAAACATCTGCAAGGAAACTACCAGCCCAAAGAGCACCAACAAATATTCTCTTCTATCTGACTTTTTGATCAGCCCCTCTGATTCTGAGCATCCGGGAAGAGTCTCCCTCTGTACGTTTTCCTCTTTCTTGGAATCCAGTCTGGCTGTTCTCCTTGGTCCTGGCAGCCTGCTAAGCATTCCTGACCCGTTCTGTGGCGTTTACAAGCACCAGCAGGTACACGAGTCATAAATTTGAATTATTCCCAGCGCAGCTGCAGCCTCGTAATTGGGAAGTGGAAATTGAGATGCAGAAAAGCTCCCTGTTTGCTTTTGCTGGGAGCCAGGGGGGGTGGGAAGTCAAGCGAGAGGCTGCTGGCGAAAGGCCAGTTCCCCAGTTCGGAGCATTATGCAACAAGGGCAAAATCCATATGGCTCTGGAAAGGCAAGCGTGGACAAAGAGGAGGCAAGGTTTGTGCTTGAGGGAGAAGACAGCAGAGGAGAAAGCTATGGGTAGCATTTTTAAAAACATGTTGTTTAGAGGTTGCAGGTTCCCCTCTGCTTAATTCCAGTAGAATGGAATGGAATGGAATGGAATAGAATAGAATAGAATAAGGAATAGAATAGAATAAGGAATAGAATAGAATAGAATAAGGAATAGAATAGAATAAGGAATAGAATAGAATAGAAAATATGGAATAGAATAGAATAGAATAGAATAAGGAATAGAATAGAACAGAACAGAACAGAAGAGAATAGAACAGAAGAGAAGAGAAGAAAAGAGAATTAGAATAGAATGAATGGAATAGAATAGAATAGAAGAGAAGAGAAGAGAAAAGAGAAGAGAATTAGAATAGAATGAATAGAATAGAATAAGGAATGGAATGGAATGGAATGGAATAGAATAGAATTATAGGTTAGAATAGAATAGAATAGAAAAGAATAGAATAGAATAGAATAGAAAAGAATAGAATAGAAAATAGAAATAGAAATGGAATAGACTAGACTAGACGAAGACTAGAATAGGGAATAGACTAGAATAGAATAGACTGGACTAGAACAGAACAGAACAGAATAGAGCTGGAAGGGACCTTGAAGGCCTTCTAGTCCAGCCCCCTGCTCAAACAGGAGGACCTGGCTTATACCATCTCAGACAAGTGACAAGAGAGAATGGAGACAACATCTCTGGGAGATGAAGCTGGAAGGGGGGAAAAAAAAAAAGGGGGACTCAGAATAGCTGCATGTATGAAGCGACCTCTGAACGGGACGTTCTAGAAATCAAATGGAATTTTTTTTTCCTGAACTGAATTATTTTATTTGGCTGCATACATGGACTGACTCAAGGCTGGCCTGTGTGAGTGTGATTAGACCCACAAGGAATCGCTCTTGCAATTATAATAGAAGAGTTATAATCATCATCGCCATAATACCAATAAAAGGGGGGAGGGGAGAGTAAAGAGGATAATAAGGAGGATAAATAATAATACTACAGCTATACTACCTGGATAAATATAGATAGTCCTCGACTTATAACAATTGTTTAATGACCGTTTGAAGTTACAACGACACTGAAACAAGCGGCATATGACCTGTTTTCTCACTTTTCATCCCCATAATGTGATTTACATTCAGACGTTCGGCAATTGGCTCATATTTATGACGGTCGCAGTGGTCACGGAGGTGTGTGTGTGTCACGTGATCCCCCTTTGTGATCTTTTGACAAGCAAAGTCAGTGGGGGAAGCTGGATTCACTTAACGACCGTGTGACTAATTTAAGGACTGCAGTGGTTTGCTTAACGACTCCGGCGGCCAAAGTCGTAAAACGGGGCAAAATCCTCTTAACCATTGTTCCGTTTAGCGACATAAATCCTGGGCTCAATTGCAGTCGTTTTAAGACGAGGACTGCCTGCACAGGTGGATGCGATGATCACGTCTCTTATGAAAGAGGCGCTCCGTTTTGAATTTTTTCTACTTTTAGATACTGTTTTTTTTAGATTTAAATATTTTATGATTAGATGCTTAATACCTAGCCCAGGGGTAAGCCACCTTGGCTCTTTTATGACTGGTGGACTTCAACTCCCAGAATTCCTGAGCCAGCCATGCTGAGGGGAAAGGGAGAGGTTTCCAAGCTTAGCTATGCTGGCTCAGGAATTCTGGGAGTTGAAGTCCACCAGTCATAAAAGAGCCCAGGTTGCCTACCCCTGCCCTAGACCAGGGGTGGGGAACCTTGGCTCTTTTATGACTCCTGGACTTCCAACTCCCAGAATTCCTCAGCCAGCCTCCATTTTGTTTGTTAGATTTAAGACAGGAGTCTTCAAACTTGGCCCTTTTATGACTCGTGGACTTCAACTCCCAGAATTCCTGAACCAACATGGCTCAGCTTGGAAATCTCTCCCTTCCCCCTCAGCATGGCTGGCTCAGGAATTCTGGGAGTTGAAGTCCACCAGTCATAAAAGAGCCAAGGTGGCCTACCCCTGGTCTAGGAGGCTAACCGCTTAGAACAGGAGGACTTAGGACAGGGGTAGGCCACCTTGGCTCTTTTATGACTGGTGGACTTCAACTCCCAGAATTCCTGAGCCAGAATGGCTCAGCTTGGAAACCTCTCCCTTTCCCCTCTTACTTTAAGATTCAGAGGTTTATTTTTCTAATAATTTGGAAGACGGCATTACATAGCATTACTTACATTAACAACCCATTGCAATGAGGACCATATGGCATAGCGTATTCCAAAGGACAGCCCCGAGCCAGACTTAAACCGACATTTATATACCTTTCTTCTAACAACCACCCCCATATAATCATTATTTTGCAAAAGCAGTTCCTTGTTTTTTTGTGCTGACTAGCAGTTTCCACATACATTCCAATATCTCAGGGGCTGCCATAAAGAAGAGGGAATTAAGCTATTTTCAAAAGCCCCTGAAGGCAGGACAAGAAGCAACGGGTGGAAATTAATCAAGGAGAGAAGCAACCTAGAACTAAGGAGAAACTTCCTGACAGTCGGAACAATTAACCAGTGGAACAGCCTCCCTCCAGAAGCAGTAAATGCTCCAACACTGGAAGTTTTTAAGAAGAGACTGGACAGCCATTTGTCCGAAATGGTGTAGGGTTTCCTGCCCGAGCAGGGGGTTGGACTAGATGACCTCCAAGGTCCCTTCCAACTTTACTACTATTACTATTACTATTACTTCCTCTTTCCCCACGGTTACAATACTCATGTTCCATATACATACATACATACATACATACATACATACATACATACATACATACATACATATATAACTACTTACTTTGCAATTTTATATTACACAAAGCTCAGCAGATTACAAATAATACGTCCGTATTATGAAAAAAACTAAAGTTCAAGTTAAAGCTTTTAATCACCACTGCGGGGCCTATTTCAGGTTTCTTCCAACCCTATCTATATTTTGGCTACATTTTCATCTCCCACAAGACCTCCAAGGTTGCTTCCAACTCTGTGGTTCTGTTATTCTATTATCCCCCATGACTCTACCTTCCCTCAAAGGGTCTATAATCTGGGTGCAATAAGTAGAATATTACCTTTGAAACAAGTGATGAAGTTCTTGACTTTGGCGTCATCCAGGAAAAGCTGTTGAACGTGGTCAGGATTGGATGGGGTTGGGAAGGTACGGTGGGGAAGAAAAACATGAGAAAAAAAATGAGTAAACTGGAGGCTCCTCTTCCTGAAAAATAAAGAATATGCAGAGAGAGTGGAAGACAAGACCTCCTACTGCCTCAAAAACAAGGGCACTGCTCCACCATCTTGGAGGAGAAGAACTAAGGAGAAACTTCCTGACAGTTAGAACAATTAACCAGTGGAACCACCTGCCTCCAGAAGCGGTGAATGCTCCAACACTGGAAGTTTTTAAGGAGACATGGACAGCCATTTTGTCTGAAATGGTATAGGGTTACCTGCCTGAGCAGAGGATTGGACTTGATGACCTTCAAAGTCCCTTCCAACTTTATTATGAGGATGATCACACAGTCAGCCAGATGTTCAGACTGGATTTGGCATTTTTGTTTACCTACCGAGTCCTTCCCAAGGACCTGGGATAGGCAGATGTGGATGTTTGATGGCATTACAGATATCGTCGCAGGATGGAAGCGGTTCCTAGTAAGGCCGCCTTTTGCAATTGACTAATGGCAAATTTGTCAATGCCGATGATGGTGTTCAAGTGGTGCTCCAGTTGTTTTGGGATTGCACCCAAGGAGCCTATTACTATTGGTACTACCCTTGCTTGCCTTTGCCTATTTCTATTTGTAGGTCTTTGTATTTTGTTATCTTCTCCAGTTCTTTCTCGTCTATTCTATTTGTCCCTTCCAATATTATTATTATTGTTATTATTATTATTATTATTATTAGCCAGTTTTTCTTTTAATACCGATCCCAATTCATTTCCCCTGTAATGTTTAATTCAGGGCCAATTAGATATGCCACAGAAGAGGCAATAACATGAGTCAGCAGCTGAGGCTAATGGATTCAAAAGAGATCCAAGCAGCCCCCAGAGCTGAAACGAAGGCGGCATCTCATCCTGAGCCCAAATCTGCCACTTGGCTGGTTTTCGTTTTGCCCTGAAGGTCTCCATTAACATTTAGCTTTGAATCTGACATTGCCAGGCTCCTCATTATGTCATTTGGATTCCTTCTGAACTGGAGGAGAAACAGATTTTAGCTTTTTTTTTTTTTTAGCTTTATAAAACCCTAGTGAGGCCATACCTGGAACACTGCAGCCAGTTTGGGTCACCATATCACAAAAAAGATGTTGAGAGTTTGGAAAAAATTCAGAGAGGAGCAACTAAGGTGATCCAAGGCCTGGAGACTAAAACATACGAAGAACGGCTGTGGGACTTGGGTTTGGCTAGTGTAAAGAAAAGAAGAAATAGGGGAGACAGTATAGCAGCATCCCAGAATCTGAGGGGCTGCCACAAAGAAGAGGAGGGGGCCACATTATTCACAGAAGCACCAGAGAGAAGGACAGGAAACAATGGTTAGAAACTGACTAAAGAGAGAAGCAACCTGGAATTAAGGAGAAACTTCCTAACAGTGAGGACAACCAACCAATGGAACAGCTTGCCACCAGAAATCGTGGGCACTCCATGACTGAAGGTTTTTAAGGAGAGACTGGACAGCCACTTGTCTGAAATGGTATAGGTTCTCCTGCTTGAGCAGAAGGCTGGACTAGAAGACCTCCAAGGTCCCTTCCAGCTCTACTTTATCCTTTTGCAGGGGAAACAGTCTCTGGAACTTGGAGGTAGAGGCGTTCATTTAGTGACCATTCAAAATTACTGACAGGACCATTTTTCACACTTACAACCATTGCAGCATCCCCATGGTCACGTGATCGAAATTCAGATGTTTGGCAACTGACCCATATTTATGACGGTCGTGACGTCCTAGGGGTCACGTGATCCCCTTTTGCGACCTTCTGACAAGAACAATCAATGGGGGAAGCCAGATTCACTTAGCAACCGTGCTACTAACTTAACAACTGCGGTAAGAAAGGTCATAAAATGAGGCAAAACTCACTTAACAACGCTTGGGCTCCATCGTGGTCGTAACGTCAAGGACTAACTGTAATAAAACTACAGCAGCTGGACTAGGACATATGAGCCACACCTGCTACGGGCAGTCCTTGACACAGCCATTCATTTAGTGACCGTTTGAAGTTACAACGGCAGTGAAAAAAGCAACTGGTGGTCGGTATTCACACTTATGACCGTTGCCGCATCCCCAAGTTTGGGAGCTCAGAAACGGCCGTGTATTTATGACGGTTTCACCATCCTGGGCTTGCGTGGCCATTTCCAACTTTCCCAGCTGGATTCCGACAAGCAAAGTCAATGGGGGAAGCCAGATCCACTTAATGACCACATGAATTCACTTAACAACGGTGGCAAAAAGATGGCGTAAGGCTTCACTTAGCAACAGCCTTGCTTAGCAGCGGAAAAGTTGGACTCAGCTGTGGTTTTAAGTTGACGACTGTCTGTATTCATGCTGTCGGTCTCCATCCAAGGGGAAGGGGAGGCATTTGGGGCTTGTACTGGGAGCTTCAAGGCTGTTTGGCCTGAGAATGGGAGATGACCAGTTTAACACCTCAAGAGTCTCTCAGAAACATCTTACCAGCATCGCCTTGGCTGGCCGGGGTGTGTGTATGTGTAATTGTTCTAATTGTCAGGAAGCTCGTGGTGGTTGGTGTGCCCCGGGGTCATGGGATCCCCTTTTGCAACCTGCTGACAAGCAAAGTCAATGGGGAAGCCAAAAGTTCACTTAACAACCGCCTGATCCCCTGAACAACCCTGGTGAGAAAGGTGGTAAAATGGGGCAAAATCCACTTCACAATTGTGTGTGTCGCTGAGCAATAGAAATTTGGAGCTCAACTGTGGTCGTAAGTCGAGGACTACCTGTAATACAAACTTCCCCATTGACTTAGGGGTCCCTTTCCAGCCTTTGTTCCCCCCCCCAGCCGGAAATGACCTTTTCCAGTTGCAGGAGGGATCCGGTTGACCCGATGACCTCCCCCCCCATTGTCCACCCCGCCCCCGCCCCTACCTGTCCCTGGTGGTCGACGTAGTAGAAGTACTCGCGGGTGCGCGGCGAGGGGCTCTGGCCTTGCTGGTAGAGAGGCTGGCCAGGCCCGCGACGGATCCCCGGGCGCAGCAGGAAGCCCAGCCCGCCCCGCAGCAGCCGCATCCCGGCTCCGGTCTGGCAGAGTGGGCCGCGGCGGAGAGGAGAACACGGTTGATTCTACCGGAAGCGCTATGGGGGACCCTTACGCCGACGGAAGCGCTCCCCCCCGGCACGCGGAGCGGGCAGAAAGGTTCCGCCGGCGGTGCGACCCCTGCTGGCCGGGACTGGAACGTCTCTCGCCGGGCGCCCCGAGAGCGGAGTCCGGTCCGCGCTGCTTCTCCCGCCGGAGACCGCGTGAGTAGAACGCCCCCCCCCCGCTGCTCTTGGGCGCCCCCAGTGGACGCCTGGAGGCCTTTGCAGCCGGAGGGGCGCCTGGGCTAAGCGGGGGGGGGGACCCAGCGGAGCTTCAATCGGGGGACCCCGAGCCCCAGGAAGAGCAGGAATCAGAATAGAGCTGGACGGGACTTTGGAGGTCTTCTAGTCCACCCCCTGGTCAAGCAAGAGAGACCCTATACCATTTCAGACAAGAAAGAGTCTGCCGGGGCTGTTCTTCCTCTTCCTCCTCCATCAAAGAAGGGGAAACGTGCCTTTTCTTCCTCTTCCCCTCCTCTCCTCCTCCCCTCCTCCTTTCCCTTTTTCCTTCTCCTTCTCTTCCGTCTTCCTCTCTTCCTCTTTGGTTCTTCTGTTTCATCTCTTCCTTCTCATTCTAGGGCAGGCCCCTGTTCTTCATCTTCTACCACCACCACCAGCACGACTTCCTTCTCCTCCTTCACCCTTTTTTCTTCTTCTTTCCTTCTCCTCCTCCATCTTGCTCTCCTTCGTTCTCCTTCTTGAGCATGCATGTTCTTCCTTGCCTACTACAACCACCACTTCCTTCTCCTTTCCTTCCCCCTCCCCCGTTTTCTTTCTGCATCTCTTCCTCCTCCTCTTCTTCTCCTTCCCCTTTTTTTCCTCTCCATCTGTTCCTCTCCTTCATTCCCCTCCCCCCTCCTCCTCTCCTCTTCCTTCCTCAGCTTCATCTGTTCTTCTTCCATTACTACCTCCTCCTCCTTCTAATGTTCCCTAGTTGGGTCATGAAACGTCTGCAAGGAAACCGTCAAGCTCAGAAAGTACCTAAGACCCCACAGCCCTTCTCCTCCTCCTCCTCCTCCTCCTCTTCTCCACAAGCCCCACTCCCATCTAGCACTGATGATGTTCCCTACTTGGGTCATGAAACGTCAAGGAAACCATCAAGCTCAAAGAGCATCAGAGACCCCACAGTCGTCGTCGTCCTCCTCCTCCTCCTCCTCCTCCTCCTCCTCCTCCTCCTCCTCCGTGGAACAGCCTGCCTCCAGAAGCGGTGAATGCTCCAACACTGGGAGTTTTTAAGAAGAGACTGGACAGCCATTTGTCCGAAATGGTGTAGGGTTTCCTGCCTGAGCAGGGAGTTGGACTAGATGACCTCCAAGGTCCTTCCAACTTTACTACTATTACTATCTTCCCAAACGCCTCTCCCTTCTAGCACTGATGATGTTACCTAGTTGGGTCATGAAACGTCTGCAAGAAAACCACCAAGCTCAGTGAGCACTAGAGACCCCAGAGTCCTTTCCTCCTCCTCCTCCTCCTCCTCCGTTCTTTCTTCTCCTCTTGGAGTCCAGAAAGAGAAAATTTCTCTTCCTTCTTATATCACTGTGTAGCCCACTCCACCCCCCTCCCTGGAAAACTATACAGGGAGTCCTCAGCTTACAGCCATCCATTTAGCAACGGTTCGAGGTTACATCGGTAGTAAAAAGTGGCTTAGGACCAGCCTTTGCCTTTATATACAGTACATCCATATAGTCTGGAAGACTTATAGTTCCAAGGTTGGGTTGTTGTTGTTAGTTGTGAAGTCGTGTCCGACCCATCGCGACCCCACGGACAACGTCCCTCCAGGCCTTCCTGTCTTCTGCCATCTTCTGAGTCCATTGAAGCTCAGGCCTCCTGCTTCAGGGACTCCATCCAGCCACCTCCTTCTCTGTTGTCCCCTTCTTCTCTTGCCCTCCACCTTTCCCAGCATCAGGCCCTTCTCCAGGGAGTCCTTCCTTCTCATTAGGTGGCCAAAGGACTTGAGTTTCAGCTTCAGGATCTGGCCTTCTCAAGAGCAGTCGGGGTTGATCTCCTCCAGGACTGACCGGTTGGATCACCTTGCAGTCCAGGGGACTCGCAGGAGTTTTCTCCAGCACCAGAGTTCAAAGGCCTCCATTCTTTGACGCTCGGCCTTTCTTATGGTCCAACTTCCCACAGCCACACGTTGCAACTGGGCAAACCATGGCCCTGACAATAGTACTTTTTTGGGCAGGGTGACGTCTCTGGTTTTTAGTATGCTGTCTAGATTTGCCATAGCTTTCCTCCCCAGGAGCAAGCGTCTTTTGATTTCTTGGCTGCAATCCCCATCTGCGGTGATCTTGGAGCCCAGGAAAATACTATGGGCCACACTGCTCCGTAGTAAACATTGAGAATAGTTCTCTCATTTGTCTTAAGCTGAGTTCATACAGCTTTTTTTCCTGCTTTTTTATCCTGGCGCTGTTCTTATCTGTGTTTACTTCTTTTGCAAACTGTGTTGGTGTCAGCAAAAGGAGAAATTGATTCATGCAAGACTGCCAGCGCTATCATTTCTCCCTGGCGCTGTAGTTTATTTTGGCTTTGGAGGTTGAATGTAGCAAAAGGGCTCTTAAATGCCTTTACATTTTATTTCAAAGTTACCCTTGAAAGAGAAACCCTTGGCCTGTAGCAGACGGGATATAAACACCTTTCCAGAGTTAATTGTTGCCTTTTTAATTACAGTCGATAATTATTCCAATGAATGTTGCACGACAAAGAGCAGTTTAATGGGGTTAGCTGGGGTTGTTCTTTCCATGTGTGCAGCGTGCAGTTGAAGATAGAAAGTATATAAAATTTTTAAGTGCCTGCCAGCAACGCCATTCTGTTAGCAAAAGTCATGAAAAAAAAGGGGGGGAGGAGAGAAGCACGCATTCATTTTCTGCAATTTACACATTTAACAACTTTTTAATTCTGGTCTTGTAGCAATTTAAGTTATGACAAAACTTTACTTGTTCCTTCATCGGTGGAGGAACTTGATCTTTGGGGAGGTAATGGTCTCTGGGTCTGGTTGTAGGAAAAACAAGCTCTCTTTGGACAGCTGCTAACGTCTTTGGCTTCTTTGCCAAAGGAACTGAGGAAAAATTAAACTAAAAGAACAGAATAACTGAGTTGGAAGGGACCTTGGAGGTCATCTAGTCCAACCCCCCCACACCCAAGCAGGAGACCCTACCTACAGCATTTCTGACAGATGGCAGTCCAGTCTCTTCTTGAACGCTTCCTGTGATGAAGAATCCCGTATTATTTTGCAAGAGTATCCAACTTGGCAACTTTAAGACCAGTGGACTTCAACTCCCAGAATTCCTGTTTTACTGTTTTGTTTTGTTTTTCATTTTACTGTTATAAACTGCTCCGAGAGCAGCCCCACAGTAGGATGGGGGGCAAATAAATTTAACAAATAAATGTAACAGAATAACAAGAGTTGGAAGGGACCTTGGAGATCATCTAGTCCAACCCCTTTCTCAGGCAGGAAACCCTATACCATTTCGGACAAATGGCTGTCCGGTCTCTTCTTAAAAACTTCCAGTGTTGGAGCATTCACCGCTTCTGGAGGCAGGTGGTTCCACGGGCTAATTGTTCCTACTGTCAGGAAGTTTCTCCTTAGTTCTAGGTTGCTTCTCTCCTTGATTAGTTTCCCTCCGTTGCTTCTTGTCCTGCCTTCAGGGGCTTTGGAGAAGAGCTTGACATAATACTGGTAGGAGTTTTCCCGTATTTGAAGGGCTGCCCCAAAGAGGAGGGGGTCAACTTATTTTCCAGAGCTCCTGAGGGTAGGAGAAGAAGCAACAGATGGAAACTGATCAGGGAGAGAAGCAACCTGGAACTAAGGAGAAACTTCCTAACAGTGAGGACAATTAACCAGTGGAACAGCTTGCCACCAGAAGTTATGGGTGCTCCAACACTGGAGGTTTTAAAGAAAAGACTGGACAGCCATTTGTTTGAAATGGTATAGGGCAGGGGTAGGCAACCTCAGCTCTTTCATGACTGGCGGACTTCAACTCCCAGAATTCCTGAGCCAGCCATGCTGAGGGGAAAGGGAGAGGTTTCCAAGCTGAGCCATGCTGGCTCAGGAATTCTGGGAGTTGAAGTCCACAAGTCATGAAGGGGCCATAGTTCCCCCATGCTGGCTCAAGAATTCTGGGAGTTGAAGTCCACGAGTCATGAGGGGACCATAGTTCCCCCATGCTGACTCAGGAATTCTGGGAGTTGAAGTCCACGAGTCATGAGGGGACCATAGTTCCCCCATGCTGACTCAGGAATTCTGGGAGTTGAAGTCCATAAAAGAGCCGAGGTTGCCTACCCCTGGTACAGGGTCTTCTGCTTGGGCTAGAAAACCTCCAAGGTCCCTTCAAGCTCTATTCTGATGGATTGATTGACCGCCTTTTCTTTGTGGCAGCCCCTCAAGTATTCGAAGACTGCTATCACGTTTCCTTTAGTGCTTCTTTTCATTAAATTAAACATACCCAATTCCTGCAACTTTCCTTCTTCGTATGGCTTACCCTCCAGTCCCCCAATCATCTCTCCTGCTCTTCGCTGTGTTTATATTTTATATGTATTTAAATATAAACTGATATGGGTTAGCATATGAGTAAGCAAGGCGGTGGCCTGGCTGTCCAATTTTAAAATTCCATCTCTCTCTTTTTTTTACTGTGGCTATGTTTTTTTTTAAGCAGGAATGCCTGCTAAATCGGGAATTCCGAAGAACATGGAGGAGAGCCTTTAAGCTTGACCTCTGACCCCTTGGGCAGCCATGATGACAGAAGACCTTCAGTCTGGACTGGTCCCTGGATCTGCTTCTCAACGTGATCCCCGTCTGGGAGAGCCGTGTCCGGATCCCCCTCTGAGTACAAGGCAGTGGATTGTGGAAGGGATCCTCCGGAGAAATGTTTTATTCAGCAGCGCTTTGCTAATCAGGCTGGGCCTGACCTTTTACGGGATCTATCAGGACCGAACCATGCTGGTGAAATACACCGACATTGATTACCAGGTCTTCACCGACGCTGCCAGATACGTCACAGAAGGAAAGTCCCCTTACCAGCGGGCCACCTACCGCTACACGCCGCTCCTGGCCTGGATGTTAACTCCCAACATTTATGTCAGCGACTTGTTTGGCAAGATCCTTTTTGTGACCGGGGACTTGGTGGCTGCTTTCCTGATCTACCAGATCTTGCTCCTCCGAGGGCTGGACAGACGGACCGCTTGCGGGTGCTGTGCCTTCTGGCTGTTCAACCCGCTTCCCATGACCGTGTCCAGCCGAGGCAATGCCGAGTCTCTTGTGGCCAGCTTGGTCCTGGGCACCCTCTATTACCTGGCCAGGAGGCACCTAGTGAAGGCGGCTGTGCTTTACGGCCTCGCCGTCCATATGAAGATCTACCCCGTGACTTACGCGCTGCCCTTTGTTCTCTATTTGCAAAGCCACGCCGGAGCAGAACGGGACAAACCAAATGGGAAGGCAGCTCGCCTTGGGCTGTCTTCGAGCTGGTTCACGCGGGAGGTCCTGCTTTTTGCCACGGTCTCCGGGGGCACCTTTGCCACCCTGGCTCTCTCCTTCTATGCCTACTACGGCTGGGAATTCCTGCAGCACACCTACCTCTACCACTTGGTCCGGAGAGACACCCGCCACAATTTCTCACCTTACTTCTACCTACTGTATTTGACGGCCGAAAGCCGCTGGAGTTTGGCCCTGGGGCTGGCTGCCTTCTTGCCCCAGTTGCTTCTGCTTCTCGCCATCTCCTTCGTCTACTACCGAGACCTGGCCTTCTGCTGCTTCTTGCACACGGCGGTTTTCGTCAGCTTTAACAAAGTCTGCACCTCTCAGTATTTCTTGTGGTACCTCTGCCTTCTGCCCCTGGTCCTGCCTTTTCTGCAGATGTCCCGGGCACGGGGGGCCCTGTTGCTGGGGCTGTGGCTTCTGGGGCAGGGTCTCTGGCTGCTCCCGGCTTATTTCCTCGAGTTTCAAGGGCAGAATACCTTTCTGCTGCTCTGGTTGGGGGGCTTGGGGTTCCTGTCCATCAACTGCACGATCCTGGTTCAGATGATTTCTCACTACCGTCCAGAATGCACCTCCCAAAAAATGAAGCCGCTGTAAGTCAGCTTGCTTCTTCAGGCTACGAAGCCGTGTGGATCTGAGCGGCATCGAGTTGAATAAAGTTGTTCTGAAAAGAGTTCATGGTGGAGGATGTGGGGGAAAAAGAGCCTATTGTTTTTGCAGAAACTGTAAGAAGAAAATATATTGAATATATTTCTAATCTCATGAGCTTGGCTGAAGTTTGGAAACGATGTGTAGGAGCTGAGATCAGAGGCCTGGCTATGCTAACACACTGGCCTTAATCAGAATTTGCTGATGTGATAGTTACTCCAGAGCAGGGGTCTTCAAACTTGGCCCTTTTATGACTTTGTGGACTTCAATTCCCAGAATTCCTCAACCAGGCATGCTGGCTGAGGAATTCTGGGAGTTGAAGTCCACAAGTCATAGAAGGGTCACGTTTGAAGACCCCTGCTCCAGAGAGAAGCCCTAGGACAGTGGTTCTCAACCTCTGGGTCGGGACCCCATTTGGGGTCGAATGACCATTTCACGGGGGTCGCCAAACAAGACTGACCACCATTTTTCCCCCTTTTCTTTGGCCACGCCCCTGGCACCTGGTGATGTATAAGTGGTTGGGGGTCACCACAATATGGGGAACTGTATTATGGGGTCACGGCATTAGAAAGGTTGAGATCCACTGCCCTAGGAACCAGTAGCCATAAAAGATCATTTGTAAATAAGAGCAGGGGGCGATGGAATTAGAGGAATGGGAGATATAATTAAAAGCGGGGAATAATATATTCACTTTAGGAGCTTCAGATAGGTTGTGACGACCTGAGTACTTAGCCAATGAG